GACCAAGACCAATTATTGAATTAAATTGAACTTGTGCCAATTTTTGTGCTTCGTAACGTCTTTTTGTCTAGATTGTTTAGCAGAAAATTTGGCAAAATTCGTTTATGAAATTTATTATTTTCGATGATAATAATAATAATAATAATATAATAATAATAATTATAATTATTATTAGTTATTTTATTTATTAATATTATTATTATTATTATTTTAGTACTATTATAATTGTTCAATTTTCTTATTAAAATTATTTTTACCGATACATAATATTACGATTTCTACAAAAAAACCGAGAAACAAATTTTTAAAAATTGATATAATAACGAAAGAGTGTAAAAAAATTCATTGAAATTGTAATTTTATGCGCGAAAAACTTTTTTATGACTCTTTGGAAATGTTTTTTTTTTTTTGTTTTGTGTTTTTTTTTTTTTGTACACTCGTTTACTAATTTTATTGATTACGTAAAAAAGAGAACAAAAATAATTTTGTGCATTGAAATATATGTATAGTGTATATATAAATGTTGGTAAAATGGAAGGTCGATATACCTCCGTTTATGTACTTCCTTAATGCACTGTTTTCTTTCATCACGCAACCATGCATTCCCTTGAAGTTTTAAAACGCGAAACTTTTAAGTTCCTGTGTGTCTTAAAGGTGTGTAGGCGTTATGCTTTCACGCATCGCGATGTGAATGCATAAGCATTTTATTTACGAGTCTATAAAAGTGTAAATTACGAGTTCAATGATATAATATTTTTAATTCCATTTTGCTTTGAAAATTTTTTTTTCCTTCAATTTTCTGTAATTTATTTATTTTTTTTAGAATAAAGAGCAGAAAATTTGTCTTCAATTCTTTAAATAATAAATAACATTAATGTTCAAATTGGAGTAAAAATTAATTTTTAAATAGTAGAAAAAATTAATTTTTAAATAAATAAAATAATAAAAAATAGAAATTGAAATAAAAAGTAATAACAAGGGAATAATAAAAAAAACGGTTGTAATTAATCAACTGGTAGTGTAATTAAAAATTGGGAATTGTTACCAATAGGGAATTACAGTTACCACAGGAATAATTGAAATCACAAACTGAATGTGTTTTTGAATTCCCTCGAAAGTAGTAAATTTTTCCAGAAAATATCCTTTTTTTTTGAAAAATAGTATATATTTCGGCTAATTTAAATCCTATGAGGCGGGTGCTTAGGAAACCAAATAAAGTAGAGCACATTCACAACAGTTCAAGGACATTTTATCGAGCCTCGATTCAGGAGTCGATGCCAAACATCGAATAAAAAAAAATTGCCTGCCTGTGGAGGTCTTTCTCTTATTGTCACAGACTTACGAAATTTCAAAACCAAGTTTGGTCCTCTTGAAAAATTCTCAAAAAGGAATTAATTACCATTTTTCTCCTCCACTCGAAATTGATTGATGATGAAATTCACCTTTCAAATTTGAAAAATAGAAAACAATTCAAAATGGTAGTTAAAATTGTAATTCGTTCCAACAAATCTAGAAATTATCAAAATTAGAAAAAGTTCTCTTTTTTTTGTTTTATTTTTTATTTTACTACACTTTTTATTTGTTTTACTTTTATTTTATCATATTTTTTATTTGGAAATGATAAAAAATTTTGTTTTATTTTCCTATTTGGAAAGGATAGAAAACAGAAAAAGAGAAATATTTGTTTTATTTATTTTTTTTTTTTTGAAAAAGGATATAAAAAAGAGAAAAATTTGTTTTATTTTATTATTTGGAAAACAGTAAAAGAGAAAAATGTGTATTATTTTTTATATTTAGAAAGAACGGAAAATAAAAGAGAAAAATATAGAAGTAATTGAAAGTGGAAAATTGATATAATTTATTAAATTCCATTATGTACATGTATCACCTGTTATTTATGATTGAAAGTTTAGTTTGTTGAAAATTTCATTCTATTTTAATAATTTACGTTGACAAACATAAAGTTAAAATTATAGCAAACAATGTAAAAACAAGAATACTAACTTTAACTTTTTTTTGTAGGTAACGTTTATTTGTCAATTGAAGATAGAGTGTCAGAAGTGTCAAGAGAGTGTGCGAGAGTGAGAAAATTCTATCGACCAAACTTTAAATCCATAGGGACTTCGATTTTTCAACCTACGATTAACGATCCGATCGTTAACAGTCACAAACAATGACGTAGAACTTGGAAAAAAATAACCTTCGATATTCGCTTCAATTGGAATCGATGTCTAGTAACCTGTGCAATCAATAATTCTTCCAATCACCTTGCACAGTGTCAATATATAATTTAGAAAAAAAGTACGTTGAAAAAAAGCCAATCTAATCGGCTCCAATTCCAACGATTTTTATTTTTCAAAGGAAAAAAGAAAAATATTGGATAGTGTGTGCATCGTCTTTACATCTCATCAGATTATTATTCGGTTTTATTCTATTCCAATTTGAAGATTATTGGAATCAAGAAATTTATCAGACGCAGATATATATTTCGAGCAGATTTTAATCTCGACTTTAAGTTATTTCTCTCACTTTCTTAATATTGAAAAAATTGATTTTGATTTTAATTTTCTGATTAAAGAACCGGTTGTAATTTTGTAAACGCAGTGAATTTATTTGACAGCGAATTTTATTAATTCAAACAAGTTGTAAATTTGAAGATAAATAGGAGGAAAAATTGTAGTCACTTTTATTGTTTACAAAGTAAAATCTAAATTGCCGGGAGTTTCTATCTATTTCTGCGAAGATAAATTTTATTATTTTTCGGAGTAAATTTTACTAAAGTTTGCTAAAATTTAGTTTTTCGGAATTAGTTGAAAATTTATTCTGTAAATGGAAAGAACATCTAGATAGAAATTGCGTGGAAATTCCCGACGAATGTTACATAATTTTTCTTTTAAATTTGATTGTTATACCTGCAGGTAAAAAGATTTTTTTTATTATATCAATTATTCGAGAGGGAAAAATTACGACTGTTTCTTTTATAGGGATTTCCAATTATTCAAATTTTCAGAAAATATTTCTATAGATAGAAAATTCTTACTACTAAATATTATTAGAATCTTTTACTTTTAAAATTTTTATCACGAAAAATTAATAGAAATTCTATGAACTAAAGTTAAGAAAAAATTTTATTATTAAAAATTAATTAAATTCTTACAATTAAACTTTTTAAAATTTTTTAAAATTCTTACAATTGAAAGTTAACAGAAGCTTTTCCTTTAAAAATTAGTAGAAATATTTATTATTAAAAATTTTTACTACAAAAAATATTAAATGAATTCTTACAGATAAATATTAATGGAAATTCTTACAACTAAAATTCAATAGAAATTTTTACTACTAAAAATTAATAGAAATTTTTTTACTAAAGTGAATGTAAATTTCTATTACTAAAATTAATAAAAAAAAATTTTCTACTGAAAATTAGTGGAAATTATCACTACTAAAATTAATAGAAATTTTTGCCATAAAAAATTAATTGAAAATTACTAGAAATTTTTACTATAAAAAATAATAAAAAATTTTTATATTTATAGATTATTTATTTCCAAAAAAGTTCAAATATTTCAATTATAAAATGTAATATTATTATTATTATTATTATTATTATTATTATTATTATTATTATTATTTATATTTTAAACAACGCTTAAATTTTTTTAATTTCGATGCTGTAACTAATTTGGAAATTTTTACCCCACTAAAAACTTGTAAAATCTTAAAAAAAGCTTCCTCACGAGGAAGTAAAAATATTTCCTGAAAAATGAAAATTTTGAACTATAATAATTAAAATAACGAATTTTTTCCTTAATTTGAAAGTGAGAAAAATTGTAATTTAAATAATGGAGAATTCCCTTCTGTATTGATCAGAATAATATTTGTCTGAGTGGAAAATTTCTACGCGAAAAACTTGGAGAAAATGAGGAAAATTTGTATTTCTTTTTAATGCCACTTGACATCGTCTTGGTAACAAACCATCGTCTTTTCATTTTGACTATAGAAGGAAATGTGCTAACCAGCAGACCACCTGGCTTGCATCTGCTGTCGCCACGTAGGCACTTGATATTTTTCTCTTTTTTTCAACTCTTATTTTCAAATTTCTCTCTACCTTTATATATATATTTTTTCTAATCCTGAAAAAGCATTTTCCATTATCCTAATTTATTTCTAGGTATATCTATATATACCCTTTGTCCCTTTTTTTTCTTCTCTGGCCATTTCTCGATTGTTGATTCAATAATAATGGAACTCCCTAATGTGTTCTCATCAATCAGACATTAAAAATCCATTATTTGAAAAATGTTTTTTCTTTCCTCGATAGGAGAAAAATTATTTCTAAAGAAGTTCTTAGTATAAAGAATCTATTTTATTGTTTAAAAAGAATTTTTATTTTATTGTTTAAAGAAAAAGAAAATTATAATTTTGTCTAGTTTGTAAAAATTTGTGATTAAATTTGCAAATGCTTTTTTTGCGAATTGAAATGTAGAAGTATTAATATCGATATGGCATTTTTTAATGAATTGGAAAGCAATGGCGTCTTTTGCTGATGTGGCTGCTGGTGCTATAACCGTTTTCGTTTTATTTCCAAGCATTGCGTGGCAACTGGAAACTTGTTTGTGTGAGAGGGACGTCACGTAAGTGGGTTTACATAAAATTCTGCCTGGTGTTAGTAAACGAGACAAGAACGAAAGTTTCAATCCCTCTAGTCTACTGAGTCGCTATCTGTTGGCTGCGCCGTGAAATATATTCTCTATAGATGGCGCAGTTTGTCAAAAAAAAAAAATAATTTAAACATTTTTCAATTTTTGTTTTTTAAAAAATTTTTGTTTTTATGATTTTTCTAAATTGAAATACAAAATTTCTAATGTATAATCGGAAAAATAATTATGAAAATTCCCTCAAGGATTCTTTATTCCATTTAAAATTATTTTTATATGTTTATTTGAAAAAAAAATGTTTAAATTCTATTTTTTTTATTAATAATTTTTCTCTATTTTCAGTGCATTGACTTTGTGAAGGCAGGAGCCGATCAAGGATTAACACCATCCGATGTGGTCTCAGCTGCGGATATCACTTTTTCATGTGTTGCCGATCCACAGGCAGCGAAAGAAGTATTTATTTTTTTAAATTTTAATAATTTAAATAATTCATTTAACTTGAATTTTACTTGAAATTTAATTTTTTAAATTTTACTTGAAAAGAGATTAAGAAAGAAATTGACAATTTCAGATGGTGTTTGGAAATTGTGGCGTTTTATCGGAAATGGCACCGGAAAAGGGCTACGTGGAGATGACGGGAATCGATGCGGAGACATCCAAGGATATTGCCGAAGCGATAAATACAAAGGGAGGTCGATATTTGGAGGCACAAGTGCAAGGTAGTAAAACTCAGGCGCAAGAAGGTACACTGGTGATTCTTGCTGCTGGCGATCGATCGCTGTTTGACGAATGTCAAAGTTGCTTTGAGGCAATGGGAAAAAATAGTTTTTATCTCGGAGAAGTTGGCAACGCGTCCAAAATGAATCTTGTTCTTCAACTCATGGCGGGAGTTACTTTGGCGGGTCTCGCCGAAAGTATGGCACTCGCCGATCGTGCTGGACTCCAACAAAAGGACGTGCTTGAACTTCTTGAACTCACCTCATTGGCTTGTCCAGCTATTTTGGAAAAAGGAAAAGGTACAATTTGTTTCTTTCAGAAAGGAAAATTTAGGGAAAGTAGAATTAATCAGGGAAGTCAGGGATTTTTATTAAAAGTACTGGAAAAAATTCAATTTTAAGAATTCAAAAGAAAATTCTGAGTTTTTTTTTGGTTTGCCTCATAAATTATGAAATTACCACAAAACCTTCAATTTTTTCTATTTCTGACAATAATTTCTAATTAAATAACTTCATTCATAAATAGATGAAGTTCAAAAGGTATTACTTTGAAATTTTATAAAACTTCAATTTTGAATAAATTTAATTAGAAATTTTAAAGAACTTAGATTTTTGAAAAATTGTAATATTTCAAATTCTTCTGAAAGAATTTATAAAAGAATTTTAGTTAAAAACACTAACAAATTTGCATTTTGGAGAAGTTGCAAATGATTGCAAAAATTCAATTATGTTCAAAAATTTTTTTAAATTCTCATCAACATTTCAATTATCTTTATTAATAATAAAATTCTTCTCCTAAATTCAATTATTTTAAAAAATTTAATAAAATTTTTGGCCAAATGGCAATAATTTTCAAAATTTTTCCTCATTTCAATGATTTTTAATATCTACTACATATTTTAATAAAAATTTTCCCAAAGAATACAATTATTTAAAACAAAATTTGATAAAATTCAACGAAAACATTTAATTATTTTCATAAACAGTAAAAATTCACAAGAATTCAATTATTTACAAATTTTTTATAAATTTCTTCGTAATAATTCCATTACATTTATAAACTATACAATTTTTTACAGAGATTTAATTATTATTTTCGTAAATAATAAAATTCTTTTTAGGAATTTAATTATTTTCAATTTTTCATAAATAATAAAACTCAACGCAGAATTTCAATTTTAATCGAATTTCTCGAAAAAATGTAATTATTCTGAAAAATTTTATTAAAATTCGTTGAGAGAATTTAATGATTTAAAAATTTAATGATAAAATTCTTTACGAGAATTTAATTTTGAGAAACATTCAATTATTCAATATTTATTTATTTTTTAGTTGATTAAATATTTATTTAAAAAAGAAGTATCTAATCATTTTTAGAGTGAATATTCTTTAGGGTCAGGGAAAAAGATAAAATTTTGTCTAGAAATCAGGGAAAAGTCAGAGCAAAAAAAAAAACTTAAATTTTCGTAGCAACCCTGTAGAATTCATATTCATATTCAAATATGAGAAATATTTGGAGAAATTTTTACTATTTTGAAGGTAAAATCTAAATTGGAACTTCTGATTATTTCATGTTTGGAACTTTTACTATTTTTAGAGTCAATTTTGCCTATATTCGAAATTTTTTATAGTTTTTAAATAAAAATTTACTTTGAACTTAGAAAAATTCACTCCAAAAATAGTAAAAGTTACAAAGCAGAAGTGCACAGAAGTTTCTGCCAATTTAGATTTTACTACGAAAGTTGTAAAAGTTACTTTATTCCTTTTTGCTGTGTAAAAAATTGTTAGTTAAGAATTTTCATTCAACAATTTCGAATTTAAATTAATGCAAAATTTTTAATTTCAGGGTTTTAAAGTTCAAAGAAGTCTAAGCTTTTCAAATATACTCAACAAAAATTTTACTTAATTTAATATTTTCTTACCGAATTATTATTTTACAGACATTTCTTTTTACAATATTTCACAATCAATTTACTTTTTATTTAATTTCGAATGAGTTACAATTAAAAATTTGGATTAATTACTTAATTTTAAAACAATTTATACTTAATTTTGTTTTAAATTCCATGTTTCGAAAAGTTTTATGTACAAATTCTGAAAAATTAGGTTTTTAAAATATTTCGATTCTTCTTTTTTTTATAAAGTTAATTGAAATTTTATAAACAAGTAATTGAATTATTACAAATAAGTAATTGAAATTATTTTAAAATAATTGAAATTTCCTGAAATTCTGTTAAAAATAATTGAATTTTTTCAGAAAATTTGATTAAAATTTTTCAAAATAATTGAGGAAATTTTCTCGAATTATTTAATTTTATTTTTAAAATAGGTACCCTTAAAGTTTTTTAAACCCTTACAGTTTAAAAAAAAATTTTGCTTCTAGAAAATATATTTTTTTATAAATTGAATTTTTATGAATTATCACCTTGAATGTTTCTTTATGTATAAGGATCAGAGTAAAAATCGAAATTCTGTCTGAAAAATAGGGAAAAACAAAATCAAATTTTGTGGCAAATAGGATGAAAATTGTATCTAATTAAATTATTAAATTATGTCTAATAAAATTCTCTTCAATAAATATTCTAGCTAATAATTTTTATGGGATCTTTATACGCCTATCGAAGAACTAGAAGTGACTTCAAAACGAAAACTGGGAAAGTTTTCGTAACTGGAAAAGAATGTGTTTTCTTTTTTTGTTCTAAAAATTTTCCCCCGATTTAAAGCAGTGTTTTTTTTCTATTATTTTTTTAGTCGAATTAATTAATTATTTAATTATTTTATTAGCTAATTAACTTTTTATTTTTTAGCAATAATCGAGGGCGGATTTCCAACACAATTGCCACTTCAGCATATGCAGAAAGATTTACGATTATCATTGGGCATGAGTGATCAACTTGAACAGCCATTACCATTGGCCGCTGCAGCAAACGAAGTCTATAAACATGCAAAACGCCTCGGTTATGGTGAACACGACGCATCAGCAGTGTATATTAGAGCCAGGTTCTAACGTGATCGTTTAATTGTTCCTGACTAAGTTTTTGATGAATCATATTTATTGCAATATCTACATTCGTCACCGTGTGCGATATCGAATAAAACAAGAAAAGAAAAAAAAGAATCATTGACATCTCGTCACAGGTGTGGTGGAAAAAGAAAAAAATAAAATAAACGTGAGAGAGGGTGAAGTGACGAATAATAAGATCTAATGCATGTGTGCGTGCGCATTTGTAAAGATAAAAGAAAAATAATATAAAAGGCCGTGTATTGTTTTACATCCCGAGATATTATGCTCGAACTCGGGAATCTTTTTTTTTCCACTCACGCGAAATCATTATTGATATGACAATAAAATTCAGGCAATGAACAAATTTTTTTGACAATTTTGTAATTTTCATATATTAAAATGGAAAAACAAAATTTACAAATTGATTGACAGTTTTTTTTTCTTAAATGCAAAAAACAGTAATTATGCGACATCAAGTTGTTAATTGATACATTCTTGTGCAATTTAGTGAATTCATCTTCTAAGAAGATGTGAGTAAATTAATTTTTGAAATTTTGTATGCGACGATACGAATTTTTAAAATGATTTCACGACACTTTTAATTTAAAAGGAATTCATTCCTTTTTTATTTAAGTTCGTCATCAATTTTTTTTTTCAATTAAAAGATTGTATGTGTGATTTTTGTTTGAATTCTGAAAAATAATGCTGAGAAAAAAAGTTAATTCGAAATGGACATTATTTTAACATAATTTTTTTTTTTTAAACAATTGTGTTTGTTTTCAATTATAGCGTTTCGAATATTCTACAAGTAATTTTTTTGTATTTTCTTTCTCTTTTTTAAATTCAATTTCCAAAAATTGTAATTATGCTTTTATTTAAATTTTTTTAGAAATTTTATAATTAATTCCCGTTCTATTTCGATTTTATGAGCAATGTCAGAATTCAGTAATATGTTTCTTTAAACAAAAAGAGATATATATATTATATAAAATAGATTGTGAACGAATTGTTGATTTATAATTATGAGCAAGTAATTATTCAGTGTCAGCATTGAATGAAATTCTTTTATGATACGAGATTTACATATTCTCGGAGTCATTTACTGTCTCGACCGAGTTTCTCAAGGAATGTAATTTACATTTACTGTTTTTTTTTCTTTATATAATACCGGAACGTATAATAAAACAACAGTCGAGCAAATATTGTTTGGAAATATACAATACTGCCTATTATATATTTAAAAGAAAAAAAAGAAATTATACATAAAAGATAGGATAATTATTAACACTTTAAACGCACGCACGCAGGCTATCGGCTACGCGCCATATCATAACTTGTCTTTAACTAAATTATATGATATTGTCGCTGTTTAATGAGAAAACAAAGTGTCGAAAAGTAATCGACATGCTGTACATTAAAGAATAACAGTGATAAAAGAAAATAAAAAAAATGATAGTGCGACAAAGTTACAAACTTCAGATAATCTTATTAAATCGTATAAATATAGCTGTAAAACATTAAGAGAATGAAAAAAAAATGGGAGAAAGCGAGGGAGAGAAAGATTATACATAAAAAAAGCGTGTATGCTGGTGAGAGCGTTACGTCTATTGCATCTGCAATTCACGTTATATGTTTTGTCACAAGAAACATTGGTTTTTGAATAAATATCTATTTGAATTAAAAAAAAAAATCGTTGCCAAAAACTAATCTTCAACCCTTTAATGTTCATTTGATTTTTTGTTTTGTAAATATATTAAAATTTTTAATTTTATTTAAGTAAATAAATTCAAATAAAATTGAGATTTATCGCATACTTTATTCAATTTTAATTTTATTTGAATTTATTTAATAAATAAAATACAAAATTAAACAAAACTAAATTAGAATTTAAATAAAATAAAATAAAAAAAGAATTTATTTAAGTCTCACATTTTATTCAATTTAAAATTTATAAAAATTTAAACTAAAATTCATTTTCAAATCAATTTTTATTAGAAAATTCTACGAGAATTCAATTATTTAAACAAAAGTAAATTATTTATTGAATAATTAAATGTTTCTTAAAATTTAATTCTTATAAAGAATTTCATTAACAAATTTTTAAATAATTTATTGAATTCATTTGAAGAATTTTAATAAAATTTTTTAGAATAATTAGATTTTTCAAGGAATTCAATTAAAAAATTGTATTAAAAATAATTCAAATTCTGCGATGAGTTTTATTATTTCGGAAAATAATTAAATTATTGAGAAGAAACTTATAAAAAATTTGTAAATATTTGAATTCCTGTGAAATTTTTATTATTTTTGAAAATAATAAAATGTTTGCTTAGAATTTTATCAAAATTTTTGTTAAATAATTGAATTCTTTTGGATAATTTTATTAAAATAGTAGACATTGAAAATCATTGAAATGAGGAAAATTTTTTAAAATAATTGAAATTTTGACAAGAATTTCTAATTAAATTAAATTATTATAAATTGGAAAATTTATAAAGCAGCATTTTACATAAATAATATTTTTTATTTTATTTTTTTATCAATAAAAAGGGAAATCCCCCCCTTGCAAATTTGTAATCAATAAAAAAAAGGACTGAGATTACAAGTAACTACCCAACCCTGGGCGTCAATTGTAAAATTCAAAATGCTTCTTTTTTCGCGCGTCAAGCCGGCAAACTGTGGGCAGCGGTACCAACCAAATCGACGTGGAGAAAAATACATTTTTCAGAATTTGATACATTGAAATTGTTTCTACTATTGAAAAAGTATTTATAATTGTTATAATTTAACGTATAATTTATAAATAATTATTACCTTAATACAACGAAAAGATATTGGAAAGCACGTGTTCCTCTGTGAAGAACAGTACGCATTGTCCAAACTTGGCGTTTACAATATGATTTCTTCTTTTCGGGACGAAATTTATTTTCTCCAACGTGTATTTAACACTATTGAATAGAATATAATTGTTGAAAACACTATAGTAACAATAAAACACTTCTTCGATGATAAAAATTTTACATTTTCGAAATGAACATGACTTGGCGCTGCCTCTCTCATTGAGCATGGAATACACAAAAGAAGGTAGACTCGCAAACTTTACCCGCCCGATAGCGTAGTGATATCGCGCTAATTAAATTCTTTACATTTATTTATACAATTTCCTTTTACTTTTTAAGCTTCTTACACATTTAAAATATTGTTTTAATACCTAGTAATTTAATAAAAACATAATTCTTATTTTAGCTATCAAACATAGAAAGTAATTAAATTAAATTCTACATTTTTGGAATTTTAAACTTGGTATGCTAACTTCACATTGTTGAATATGTGAGTCATTAATTGGTTACCCCCCACCATGGGAGTTTATAGACCTGTTTACATTACATACGAGATTCGTTTCTATGTAAAACGGCGTAGTGTCTCACAATTTTTACTATAAAAATTTATTTTTATTTTTATTTTTCTGAAATGTAAAAATGTCTAAACATTGGTTAAATCTAAGATGAGTTTCTGTATCATATTTATGAAGTAAACTAACCCCAATAGTTTTGTAAAAGGCAGTATGTTTTATTGATTACCAGGTGGTAATTGTAATCACGATATGGCATCGCGCAGGTGAGGCATTTTTTTTTGTACCTGCATTAAAAAGATTCGTAATTATCATAATTCACGGACTCTTTGAGAGCCATCCCACTTATTGTCTTTTGTAAATTAGTTCTGCTCCGTATTAGGTAAGTTTTGCGGATTTTATTATAGCAGTTATGCAAGCTACAACTCTGTTAGATCTCAATCAAAATTTGATAAAAAAAAAAATCTTTTGCAAATTTGCATTTATTTCAGACAATCACGTTTTTATTAAAAATATATCAGTATTTAAACATTTTTCTAATATGTAATATTTTCTAAGAGTAATTTTAAGGTGCGTCAAGTTTTTCACTTTTTAGAATTTAAAGTTAGGGATTTAATTTGTGGAAATAAAAATAGCATAGAAAAATTAATTTTAGGAGAAATTTTAATATTTACCTGAACATTTGTGTAAATTTTTTTAAATATTTCCAACTATTGTATTTTAATTTTCTAAATTAGAGAGTGAAAAGTTAATTAGAAACTTGTTAAAATTTATGAAAACTTTACAGATGGTTTCATCCGAACATATCAGGTTTAGAAGCAGAACGACTTTTGATGGAACGTGGATATGATAGTTCATTTTTAGCAAGGCCTAGTTCTTCTAATCCTGGAGATTTCACTTTATCTGTCAGGTAAAAATGTCATAATATTAAAAGATTTATTGAAAGAAAACAAATATTGTGATTATAATAAAATTAGTTTAAAAAGAAAGAAAACACATTAATTACTGTGAAGAACAAGAAAAGAATGTCAAAATAATTATCTAAGAAAGAAATTCTATTAAAATGTCAGTGCAAAACTTAAATCATAATTTATTTAAAGGCGAAACGGTGAAGTAACTCACATTAAAATCCAAAACACTGGTGATTTTTATGATTTATACGGTGGAGAAAAATTCGCAACACTTTCGGAATTGGTGCAATTCTATATGGAAAACGATGGACAATTACGCGAAAAAAATGGAGAAGTTATTGAATTGAAATATCCATTAAATTGTGCCGATCCCACCACTGAAAGGTAATTTAATTTTTTAAAAGCTATAGTGAAAAAGTAAATAATTTAAATCTGTAGTTTTTTAAGTAGGCAATGAAAATATGAAAGCAACTTATAAATAAAAGAAAGTAGTTAATTAAAATATCAGGGTTACCATAGGCCAGAAAAGTCAGGGATTTTTATTTAAAAAAAAGTATTAAACTTTATTAAAAGTACTGGCAAAAATTAATTTTTCAGAATTTATTAGAAAATTCTCAATTTTGGTGTCTTTTATGTTGAAACTATGAAATAATCACGAATTTTAATACAAAACCTTCAATTTTTTATATTTCTGCCAATAATTTCTTTTTAATAACTTAATTCTTGAAAAACTATCATAAAATTATTATGAATTATTTAATGAATAATTTGATTTAAATATTTCAAAATTAATTAAATTTTAGTAGAGTTGCGTTTAAAATTTTAATTAATATATGAACCTCAAAAGGTTTTAATTTGTATTTTATAAAATTTCAATTTTGAACGAATTAAATTAGAAGAAATCTATTTTTGAAAAATTTTAATAATTCAAATTCTTCTGAAATTAGTTTAATTATTTAATATATATATTAAATTTATTATTAAGAAATAAATAATTTACAGAAGAATTTTAGTTAAAAACACTAAAAAAAATTGAATATTCGAGAAGTTACAAATAATTGCAGATATTTTCATGTTTTCTAATAATTTTCTTATAAGTTATTGAATTTCAAAAAGTTTTGAATTTGAATGTTTTGAAGAATTTTAATTCCTACAAAAAAATAATCAGGGAAGAATCAAAATTTTGTCTGAAAATTAAGGAAAAAAAATTAAATTTTTGTGGCAACCTTGAGTACAAAATAAGTAAATAAATAAATGATAATTTTTGCTAATATTAAATAGATGGTTCCATGGACATTTGTCAGCAAAAGAGGCAGAGCGATTGATGTTGGAACGTGGTAAAAATGGATCATTTCTTGTTCGTGAATCACAGAGTAAACCTGGTGATTTTGTGTTATCTGTTCGCACAGATGATCGCGTGACTCATGTTATGATTCGAACTCAGGTCAGTGACCATTAAATTCTAATTATATTTCAACTTTAACTTACTTTAATTATATTAATTATATATACTCCTATACATTATATTATAACTTAATTTAAACTTCAAATTATATTCATTTAATTAGTGAAACAACTTTTCAAAATTAAAATTTTAGGATAACAAATACGATGTGGGAGGAGGAGATAAATTCGACAGTCTCAGTGATCTTATAGAACACTACAAACGCAATCCAATGGTGGAAACAAGTGGAAGTGTTGTCCACTTGAGGTAAATATTTTTTATTTGAACTTAAACCTACTCTTTTTGCGTTAACATTTATTTTTCTATGAAAATGGTGAAATGAAAAAATGAAAAATGTGTTACTAAATAACATAAATAAGATAAATTATAATAAATAAGATAAATTTTGTTCAATAGACAGCCATTTAATGCAACACGTATAAATGCCAGTGGAATAGAAAGCAGAGTTAGACAATTGCATAAAGAAAATGGATGTTCGAATGGATGGCTGTGTTGGAATGGTGCAGCGGCTGGTGAGGAAGGTGGAGCAGTACGAGGAAAAGGAAAAGCCGGTTTTTGGGAAGAATTTGAATCCCTACAGCAACTTGAATGTCGACATCTCTTCTCGAGGACTGAAGGATTGCGAGCTGAGAATCGAGCCAAAAATCGTTATAAAAATATATTGCCATGTAGGTTACATTTTTAGACAAATTTTTCTAATACTAAATATTTCAAAATACGAGATTTCACCAAAACGAAATTAATATTTTGAAAATTCTATTATTTTAGTCGATCACACGAGAGTTCGTTTGATAGATGTGGATCCAAATGTACCTGGTTCGGATTATATCAATGCAAATTATATCAAAGTATGTATTTTTATCACTAAATTATATTTAACTAGCAAATGAAATTAAAAAATGTTATATTCTTGAAATGAATTCAATTATTTAAAAAAATTTTTATAAATACTTTATAAGAATTCAATGATTTTCAGTACGTTAATTTTAAAATTTTAAACATTTGAAAAGAAAAATTATTAGTACTTTTTAAAGATTTTCTTTTAATTTCGCATAAATAAATAATTTTACAGAACGATGAGAGAGAAGGCTCGGGTGTTGGAATTGGAAACATTGGCGATAATGGACTATTCAATAAATGTTACATAGCTACTCAGGGATGTTTGCCTAATACAGTTCAAGATTTTTGGCATATGGTTTATCAGGAAAATACTCGTGTAATTGTAATGACAACAAAAGAAATAGAGAGAGGAAAGGTGATAAAAATTTTTACAATGAAGCAAATTAATTTATTTTGTTTTTAAAATAATTTTGTTTTTAGAATAAATGTGCCCGTTATTGGCCGGAAGAAGGTGAAGTTAGTGAATATGGCGGAGAATGGAAGGTACGAGCACTTGGTCGAAATTCTACTGCAGATTATACTTTACGAGAATTTCTCCTTCAAGGTAGTAAACCTAATTTCTCTGAGCCGAGAAAAATTTCACACTATCATTTTCAGGTTTGTCGATATTAACCATTTTTTTTTCTTTTTAAGTATATTGTAAAATTTTTAAATTTCAAGTAACAAGTTTTTTTTTGTTTTATTTTCAGGCTTGGCCTGATCACGGAGTACCATCAGATCCAGGTTGTGTTTTAAATTTCCTTCACGACGTTAATGCGAGACAGGAATTAATTGCCGGCACCGCTTCGACCGGTGTTCCCAGTAGTCAAACACCAACGGCCGTTGGGCCAGTACTTGTTCACTGTAGCGCCGGTATTGGTCGAACAGGAACATTTATTGTCATTGACATGATACTGGATCAAATAAAACGCCATGGTAAAATAATTTCACATTCAAACTTTAAAAATTTCAATTATTAACTAATTTACTTATTAATTATTCTTATTTAATAATTTCAAAAATTTTAATAAAATTCTTCTCAAGAATTCAATTATTTACATAAATAATAATATTCTTTGTAAAAATTTGATTATTTTTATAAATAGTAAAATTTTTTGCAAACATTCAATTATTTTTAATTTAAATTACTTTCGTACTACTGGTACTTAATTTTTTCGAATTTGTTTTTAGGCCTTGATTGTGAAATTGACATTCAGAGGACTATTCAGAGGGTAAGATCCCAAAGATCCGGAATGGTACAGACTGAAGCGCAGTACAAATTCGTGTACCTCGCTGTTTTGCATTATATTGAAACTGTCTCGCAACGAATGCAAGCCGAACAGGTAATTTATGTCAAATTTAAGTTATCTTCTTTTATATTAATAATTCTAAATTATAAAAATAGATACATATAAATTATTGTAGAAAAACTCATTTATATTACTGCAAAATACAATTAATGGTATTTATTTTATAAATAAAACTTTTGGATTTTATTTATTCATTTTATTATTGATTATATTTATTTTATTTTTGTATTTTTCCTAATGTAAAAGTAAAAAATTAATTTTCAGAAATTTCATATCACTTTTATTCTAATAAGTTGAAATTTTTACTAATTCAGATTTATTTAGATTCAAATTTATTATCTACTCATTCAGAGTATAAGTTTTGTGGAAAAATTTAAAAATGATTTCTTCTTTTCAGAAATCGTTGCAATTAGGCCGAGAGTATACAAATATTCGTTACAAAAGTGAAACAAATGCCATTAATTCGGGTCTTGGAGATACACCAATTTCCACACCAACAATGCTTTCTAGTTCGTTGAGTTTTAATCTTCCCACAACGATTGGAAGTCTCAAACCGAAATAAGAGTAAAATTTTTACGCGCTTTTTAGGCCTAAGGCCAGTCATAGAGGCACAGTGATTATGTATTAAAGAAAAAAAAACGACTGTCATTCCTAAATCGTTCGTCACAATATTTGAAACAGACTTTGAAAATTGCATATTATCTTATTTATTTAAAATACAAAACAAAAATATTTCTATCTACAGAATGGCTATAAGTAAAATTAAGTCTACAGATTTTTATTTCTCAATATAGAATTAAGAGATTTAAATTTAAAGAAAAAAATCCGATAATATAGTAAACAAAAACACCATTATTATATGAGACAAGAAAATAGGGCCATCTGGTAATTTTTATTTATTACGAAACGAACATTTTTTTTTATCGTATTACGTGAAAGAAGCGTTGCATTAGAAATGCAATGAGCCTTTTCAAAAGCTGTGAAATTAGTGTTGCTGTAAATCCTATGATCGATGAAAATACCACAAATAAGAAAAAGATCTTCATTAGAATGTTTTACATTAATTAGAAGTGAAGAAAAAAGAAAACGAAAATTATAAAGAAAAAAGTAATTTGATAATTGAAATTATAAAAAAAAAAAATAAATTCTAGAATGCTTAATTATATTTAGCTGTGTTTAGAAACAATTGTGAATCAAACGATTTTGAAGTCACGTTTTCAATCAATTTTTTTTCTTTATATTTGCAATAATTATTTACGTGATACTCGATTAATTTTATAATTTCATTTAATCAACAATTTATCAAATTTAATGATTTTTACGCGTTTGCATGCTTTTTTTATTTTTTAATAAAAACCCCCCGAGTAGATTTTTATATTATTTTATTGACAAAAAACAGTTCTCTTTCATGTACACAAGACAATCAATAATAAAGTTTTATTCATTGAAAATCATTAAAATGGAAATCACTAACAAGATTTAATAACATTGTAAAAATTTTACAAAAAGAGAACTGCATTTTCCATCAAATTTTCTTGTTTAGTTTTTATCAAATCAAGTATTAGTTGTATTATCGAAAAAATATAAAACGTGATACATAAATCAACACAATGCATTACTATTCATAAAAATTAATTTTAAAGAGAAGAAAAATATTAAAACGTGAGAAAAAAAAATTGTAAGAAATTTTACGAATATATTAAGAAATATTTAATGCGTAGATAGAATATTTAGATTAATCGAAAAAGCAATTTTGTCAATGTGTTCATTTATGTATTATTTTTCATTAGTAATTAAAAGAATTCGAATTTTATTATATTGTTTTGGACTATTTGTAGACATTCGTAAGTCGACAAAATTATATGCATAAAAATTAATTATTCAAAAATGGACTTCGATTATGACTTTTAAATAATTTTTATATATATATATTTTTTGTTTTTATTACACTAGAGAATACCAAGTGGATTTTTTTTAAAAATTTTTTGCTTGGATGCTGTAAAAAGTATACAATATACAATTGAATTTTATATACAGAAACGAAATTATTGTTTTTCTAATCAAAAAGAAGCACATGATAATAATAATTATTATTTGTGAGACTTACTTTTTGCACATAAATTGTCAAATATTAGTTTATAATACTGCTTCAGTTTTTGTACTCGGTTGTCCAAGGGCTTATATATATATATATATATATATATATATATATATATATATATATATATATATATATATATAAAAAAGAAAAGAATATAAATTGTAAACATTTTTGTAGCAGTAAACGTAAATGTGATATCTTTAAAATAAATTTTATAAAGCTTTATTAAGTTAACAGAAATTAAACATGTGCTGCACATATATTTTTTGTGTATTTTCCATTTATTCACACCTTTTCTTTTCATTTTATAAAAATAAAAACAGCGAAATATCACTTTTGAAATATTTTATTCAAAATGTTTGAAAATTATTTTTTTTTTCAATTTATAATGACAATGATAAAGTTCGCTTTTATTTTAATTAAAAAAAATATATGTGAACTAAAACTAATTAATTCTAATATATAAATTTAAATTGAAATACTGTTTAGTGAAGAAAAATAGAAAAATGTACAATTTTCCATTAAAAATTATGTTTCACGTAATTATTAAATTGTATAGTGAAAAAAAGAATATAAATGAATTACAATATACATTTTTTTGCATACGATGAAAGGAAAGAAAAATTATAATTGTAATCGCGTTTTAAACTTAAGAATTAGTTCGAAATATAAAAAAAAACTTATTTATAAAAATTTCTATACACTCGTCAAAGCTCTTGATAGTCACACAATACATTATCAAGCGTATTTATGTATAGTCATATAAGTGATATTTGTTTTTTTTTATTAGAATTCCAACATAGGTGATAGAGGAAAATAAAATAATTTTGTAAAATAATAAATGAGATGGTAAAAAGAAAAGACTTATTAGAATAAACTTATATTTTATTAATATTAAACTTAATTTTTAATGAAATTTTGATTTCATCTTATAATTAAGATTAAGATTTTCTTTAAGTAGAAATTTATATTAAAATTAAATGAAATCACCTATGTGGATTCTAAATTGGCATTTTGGTATATAAAATTGAATATCATTTTACTATCTTAATTTTATTAGCAAAAACTTTATCAATTGGTTTCACTTCGCCAAATCTTGCTTTTCGTTTCTCTATCCTTTCTTGAAGTTCGGCCTAAAACAATAAATTTGTCTTTAATTTCTTTAAATACTTTAAGTTTTAATATAATTCGTAATTATTCATATTTATTACTATTTGAAATCCTATCTATAAATTATTATTAAATATTTATTACCTTTTCCATAACGCTGGAAACCGAGCATCCGAACCTTTCTTTTCGCTTCTTCAACGTTTCGTACGATGTATTCTATTTAAATCAATTTGAAAATAATTATTAAAAAGCGAATATTCTTTACAGAAAAATTTAATTTTTTTTTTTTTTTTTTTTTAACGAATTTTTTTATCAATCCTAGAAATTTATTACTGTTTCCAATGCTTTTGATAAAATTTCATGACTTTTCCCTGACCTGTGGCAACTCTGTTTTACATTAATTATAATTTCTAATACATAATGACTATGAAAATTTCAAAAATCATTCAAAATTTTTAAATTTTTTTCCTTATAAAATTTTATAATTATTTGGAAAAACTTTTGAAAATATTTAAACAGAAAACAAAATTTCGTTCATTTTAACGTTCACAACTGTCGAGAAATCTTTCTCTCATCAATATTAATAGCAATTAATTAACAATTATTAAAGAATAAATAATATTTGGGAGAAAACTTACTTCTGGTCCTTTGATTAATGCCCCTGATGAACTATTGCTATCACTCATATTAAACCTTGCGGCTCTTGCTAATTTTTTCGCCGTTTCAGAAACAGGCATTCCAAATTTTCTCTTTCTCATTTCCAATCTCTGAAATAATAATTAGAATTAGAAATATTATTTTAAACCAGGAAAAAATTTAATATAAATTAATAATAATAATTAATTGCGCAATAATTGTGACATATTTTTAATGAAAATAATTACTTCTTGCATGCTGAGTTCGGACAATTTAATAACTTTCTTTTCCGCTACTGTATCTTCGGTTGCTTTTGGTGTTTCCTTTTCTTTGTCTAATTTTTCCTCGACTTTGATATCTTCTATGACAGTTTTGCGATTTAAGACAATTTTTTTACCATTAGAAGCACCATTACTATTGCTGTCTGTTGACAATTTTCGTTTATCGGTTGTTTCTTGAGAATCTGGTTTATTGGAGAGCTCTTCGATTTCCTCATCCTGTTATAGAAAGAAAATTAATGAAAGAAAAAATCGTCAAGTTATTAATAGAAAAAACGTTAATTTGTTGGAAATTTTAACTTACACCCAATATTTCTTCATCCAATATTTCTTCGGTTGTTTCGTCGAGTGATAATGTTGAATCTAAAGAAATAGAATCTGATGCTGAGAGTACTATACATGTTCTAGTGAATTAAATAAGTAAATTCCAATTTTTAACACTTTAAAGGAATGAAAGAAAAAATGAATTTTCATAAGAAACACAGCTTGCTTGAAATTTTTCAGAACTAGCAAACTATAGAAATTTTCGATTTCAATGAAATTTGACAAAATTTTCAATTGTTTCAATTTTTTCAAATTATTTTTGGAAATAGAATTATTTTTAAAAAATTATTACATTTTTTCAGAATTTCTAAATTAAATTATTTAAAACTTCAATACTTTTTTTTAATATTATTCAGTTATTTAAATATACAAAAATAAATAATTCATAGAGTAATTAATTATTTTTAAACATTGCAACTGTACCTCTTTATTGAGTTTTTTGAAATTGGAGTCAAATTTTCCTACTCCACTTATTTTATTATTTACAAATTAACTGTCAAACTTTTTTCATAACAATTCGAACTATAAAACAAAAAATTGGAATAAAAAAATACTAACTACACGTGAGAACAGATTATTATATAATAAAAATATAATTATCTTAAATTCTGAGTGTTACTTCAAATCAAAACATAAGGTCAGTTTTTTTTTAATCGTATTTACGATATGAAATACGATACCAAAGTTGTGTCGTATTAGCATTTCGTGAAATTCCAAGGAAGTAATCTAACATTTTCTGAGAATATTCTACATGTTCTTTAAGTAGAAGAGAATTATAGATTTATGATGTACCAAAAAAATGTAAAAGTACAAGTTCTTGATACCTATTTATTTTTTTTTTAAACTTACCCCCATGCATGGCCAATTGGAGTCTTTCCACCAATTCATTTTTATTTCCAGAAGTAGGTAAATTACGTTGCTTAAGTTCAGCCTTTAAATCAGCAACCTAATAAACAAATATTTATTAACGAAATTAGTAAACAAATGTATTTTTTTCTCTAAAGATAAAAATGAGAAAGGGAATGCCGAATTTTGAGGTTATCGGCTCAGCCATTCCAATTTGGAGAGAAATACATACCTTCATCTTTGATAATTCAGAGAGTCCTTTTTCATAGGACGAATCAGCCATTTTAAAGGATTTAATTATCGTCACAGATTTATTATTTTCTATATATTGCTCAATAAATTATCGTGGAAAAATAGGCGATACTTTTACACTCTCAATCTGGGATTAAATAGGAACATGAAACGATGAAACTGGAATTGGAATGAACACTGAAACGATTTGGAGACTAAAAAAGGGGTGCTACTCTCTGTACCAAAAACATAAGTTCGAATGCTCATTATGCCGAATTTACAATTTAGAAATGACCAGATACGCGAATCCTCAATAACCTAAATTGTATATTGAATGAAATTCAAAAGTAGGGAATAATCATTTGATATATTCTGCATATGGAGAATATTATTTTAAACTAATTCTTTTTTTCCACAATTTGAAATTATTGCAATTTTTATTTTTGGAATTTCCACTTTACCTACATTTTAATAGATCGAAACGTAAAATATCAGAATTGACATTTAATTGAAATATGATGGAGAATAAATATATATTCACTGAATAAAAAGATTAAATAATTATTAAATGTTTGAATTTAATAAAAACATATTGTTCAAAAGTTACAGTGCGAATTGTACAGAATATATATTAATAAGAAATATAATTTGGCAGAATGTCGATTCGATCGATTTTATATTTGCAAGAAATTCAATTTGACAGAATATCAATTTATAAGAAACACGTTTTCGTAGAACTTTAACTTGTCAGAATTGTAATTTTGTAGAATATTAATATTGGCAAATCTAATTTTGGTAGAAATCTGCTTTATCAGAATGATCACATGTTCGAATCCTCAAAAGTTAGAATTCCATTTTTACCGAAAATGGATTCCACATAAATATTTCGCGCAAATTTTAAAATTCTGATTTCTGATTGGTCGATTTTAAAATTTGCGCCAAATATTTATGTGGAATCCATTTTCGGTAAAAATGGAATTCTAACTTTTGAGGATTCGAACATGTGATCATTCTGATAAAGCAGATTTCTACCAAAATTAGATTTGCCAATATTAATATTCTACAAAATTACAATTCTGACAAGTTAAAGTTCTACGAAAACGTGTTTCTTATAAATTGATATTCTGTCAAATTGAATTTCTTGCAAATATAAAATCGATCGAATCGACATTCTGCCAAATTATATTTCTTATTAATATATATTCTGTACAATTCGCACTGTAACTTTTGAACAATATGTTTTTATTAAATTCAAACATTTAATAATTATTTAATCTTTTTATTCAGTGAATATATATTTATTCTCCATCATATTTCAATTAAATGTCAATTCTGATATTTTACGTTTCGATCTATTAAAATGTAGGTAAAGTGGAAATTCCAAAAATAAAAATTGCAATAATTTCAAATTGTGGAAAAAAAGAATTAGTTTAAAATAATATTCTCCATATGCAGAATATATCAAATGATTATTCCCTACTTTTGAATTTCATTCAATATACAATTTAGGTTATTGAGGATTCGCGTATCTGGTCATTTCTAAATTGTAAATTCGGCATAATGAGCATTCGAACTTATGTTTTTGGTACAGAGGGTAGCACCCCACTAAAAAAACCTGGTCGATAAAGTAACTGTCGGTAAAATCATAAAGCTCGTTTCACTGTTCTATTTTGACAACCAATTTTCCCACACGCTAATTGGTTTATTTTATTCATTATTTGTCCAGGGAATACTTTCTACTCTTGTGATATAAACTTTATTCTTTATTACAAAAGAAAAATGTGTCGTCTGCTCTTTTTTGAAAATTGTCTTTTACTTTTTGTATTTCTCTAAAGAAATGATTGTCAAAATGAAAAATGTATCAATAATGATAAAAAATCATGATATCGTTAAGTTTCGTGAAAATGTTATTAAAAAAAACTTGTGTTAAATTATCATGGCATATGATAAAAATTCTATCTACCAATACACGCACGATCAGCATTTTAAAACGCGAAGTCTGACGAAAGCGAAAGCTTCATTTTCTCCTCGGTTAATATTTTCTTGAATAAAGCACAATTATTCAGGTCATTTATCAAGAAGTGATATAATATATTTACTGAAATTGACATAAGCACCTAGGGGATTGTCGTTTAATGCAATTATTGTAAATGCATTGTGAACTAGATCATTTGATCAGTAGTGGTTTGGGTCCGGAGGAAGATGGCCGCCAGTGATTCTCTGTCATGAAAAAGTCAAGATTTGCATTTTTGTTTTACATTCGCACTTGCAGCAATGGAACATAGCAAGTTGCGAAATCAAAGTGGCATTGTCAATTAAATAGTCGAGTTTTAAATAAAAAAAACACGAGGATTAAAAGTGGGGCAAATCTATATTGTTTAGTGTGACGCGAGAACGTGGATTTCCCGAAGGAGTTCTTTTCATTTGCAAAAAAAGAATGGCATCCGATAAGTGAGTTATTAATTGTATCTAATTGTAATTTCTGATTCTAAAATGTCAAACTGTTGATAAATTCTATTTAGTGAAATTTTGCTTTCCTTTTGGGTAAAATTTGCCGACTTTTATTTAATGATTGTGATTAGTCATCGATTTTTTTTTATCGATATAATGTTTCCTAACGTTAATCGTTTCCTGTATTTTTATTTACAAAAAAAGAGAAGAAATTAAGTAACGCAAAGCTTGGCTTTGGGTGGGACCTCGCGCTGCACCCTTCTTTTCTCTCCTGTCACTTGTTTCGCTGTTATCTTTTGTCCACGTCTCGTACTCGTCTTTTTTGCACTTTCGCGTACCGATCTCCAGATAGATAAATTTGCGCGGACTATTTGTGCCAATTAAATGACCAGCATGACATCAGCCGGTTTTGCAGTATGCATTTTCATCGATTGTCATATTGGGAAAAGGGTGTGCAATGTGACAGTTCACGCCAAAATATTGAAAATTTTTTTTTATTGTTTTTTTTTACTATCTGCAGAATGTCTGCTAACACAGAATTGTGTATTTTATTATTCAATAATCTCAATTTCAAGGAAGCACTTTCCCTCGTTATAGTGTAACTCGGGTTCTTTTTTCTCTTTTTTTTCGAGAAAATAAAAAATTGCTTGAGAGAGAATATTCTAGTTGAGAAAAGAGTTTATGTTTCTTTAATAGTCTTCAGAAAAACGTTTAAGTTGATTGTCGATTATTGTTATACATTTTGTAGAGTAGAAAAATTTCCAAGACATGAATGGAGTATGCAAAAATTTTTTTTTTTTTAAATGAATAATTAACATAATGCACATGCATTTCTTTTTCTTTCATTCTCTCCCTCTGTATATAATTTAAAATGGTGAATTTACAACATTTCAAAGAGTCATAAACGACAAGCTTTATAAGATTCTTTAGAAATTCCAGTTTCATTTAATTTTAAGTGGAATCAATGAAAGTGGTACTCGCAACCTTATGTTTATGCTTCGCTTAATTTTAAGTACATCCCTTTTATGTTTAATGGACTTCTGTATATTTTCATTTCATTAAACTCATCACTTTTTCATAATTTCCCCCTAAAGAGTTAAGTACTCTCACGATAATGTCGTTTATAAAATAATTTTATCATACAAAATATTTAAATTAACTTTGTCGTTTGGAAAATGAAAATAATTTTGTTCTCCATTTTTGAGAAGAGCGGGGAATTTTTATTTAGTGATAAACTTTTGGATGTTAATATTAACTGTCAAAACTACTGATACGGCCTTGAAATCCGAGGGGATTTACAATTACATATGATAAAATTGAACAATTTCTCTCTTTAGAATTAATTGGAAATTTATGGATTAGTCAGAAAATTTATATTTAAAGAGTGAATTTTTTTATACAATATTTTTTACTTCAAATAACAATTCAGTTTTTTTTCCGCTAAAATTTCACTGCATCAGGGAAAGTAGAATTGGTCAGGGAAAAGTCAGGGAAAAACAAAATTAAATATTTGTGGCAATCCTGCTGCATTGATATTGATTTATTCATTGAAATAGTTACCAATTTTATTTATATATATATAAACACAGCGAAGAGAGAATTTTCATTTTAAATAATGCAAAATGATTTGAATTTTCAGTAAAATGGAATGGGTGGAGATCATCGAACCAAGAACGAAAGAACACATGTACGCCAATCTAACAACTGGGGAATGTGTTTGGGATCCTCCACCAGGTGTTCCTGTGTAAGTATACATATAAACACATATAGATATATTTTCCAAAACCCAATAAACTATTTTTAGATAAATACTGAATACTACTTCATAGGAAACTAGCATTATATCAAATAATTCTATTTTAGTTTCGACAAAGTCTGGAATTTTGACATCAATTTTCAATTATGAGTCAAGCGAAAATTGTTTACGATTTAATGGCAAAACATTTCTCCAGTTTTGCTATTTCTGGAAAATTGCACTGTGCAAAATTTACTTTACTTTACTCATAAATTTATTATTTTACGTCTTCATTTTTAAATAAGACGAAGGAGAAGAGAATTTTCTGAAAGTAAATTAATTTTCTATTTTTTTTCAATTTTTAATAGAAAATCATAACATGTCAGTAAAGTCAGGGAAATGACAGAAAAAAAAAATTTTTTGTCAGGGAAATTAAGAAAATTGAGACTTTTTTCGATTTATTTTCAAAAATTGCGACTTTTTCGAATTTATTTTATAAATATTGCAACAAAATACCACATTTTTTTTAGCATAAAATGCAACTTATTTTGATTTTTAAAGCACGAAGAATAACTATAAACAAATCTTTAAAAAATTATTTTTGAATCATTTTTCTATTTAAATTTTCGAAATATACAATTAAAAAGATTTTGAATAATTGAAATTTTGTAAAATGTAATTGAAAATAATTCATTTTTGTCTAGTATTTCGTTAAAATTTTTGAAAACAAACTTTTGAAGAATTTTAATTACAAATTTTCCAAATAATTGAATTATTAAAAATTTGAATGAAAAATCATTAAATGTAAACTTAAACATAAATATTAATGAAAATTAGTTTCCAATTTTTTAAAATTCAATATTTTCAAATTCTTTTAAGAAATTCAATTATTTTCGAAAAAAAACATTAAAATATTTTTAAAACTAATTCTTAGAATTATTTTATCGTAATTTTTTAAAATTCAATTATCTTCGAACAAAGTAATTAAAAAATGTATTACTTTCTTAGATTTGCATATTAAAATTTTTGAGAAATTTAATTTACAATCAAAATTTTTCAAAAATATGATTATTTTTTATATTTTTCAAAAATTCAATTATTTTTAAACGGTTTTTCCAAATTTCAATTGTTTGGAAATTTTTTTTAAAAAAATTCTTTTAAGAAATTCAATTATTTTCGAAAAATTGCATTAAAATATTTTTAAAACTTATTCTTAAAATTGTTTTATCGTAATTTTTTAAGATTCAATTATCTGCGAACAAAATAAATAAAAATTTTATTACTTTTTTAGACTTGCATATTAAAATTTTTGAGAAATTTAATTTATAATTAAAATTCTTCAACAATTTGATTATTTTTATTTACATTTTTCAAAAATTCAATTATTTTTTAAAGATTTTTCCAAATTTCAATTATTTGAAAATTTTTCAATTTGAAAAACTATTTTCTTTCAAAAATTATTTTAAAATATTTAAAAAAAATTAATTATAAGAATTTATTATAATTTTTTGAAAATATTTTAAAATAATTTTTGAAAGATAATTGTTTTTTAAATTGAAAAATTTCCAAATAATTGAAATTTGGGAAAATCTTTTAAAAATAATTGAATTTTTGAAAAATATAAATAAAAATATGGACAGTTACAATTATTAGAAAAAAATTGAGTTTTTGTATTTAAATAATTGAATTCTAGAAGAACTTTCTAAAAATTATTTTAAATAATTGATTTAGAGATGAAGTTTAGTTGAAAATTGTAGAAAATAATTGTATTCAGAAAGAATTATAATTGAAATTTTTAGAAATAATTCAAATGCATAAAGTTTACTCATTTTCCGTAATCATTCATATTTTTCTGTAAAAATAATTTTTTCATGGAAAATAATTTTAATGTCATTAAATTGTCAGAGAATTGTTAGGGAAATTGATAAACTGAAACTTGTAACCACCCTGTATTTGGAAAGAATATTGAAATTTATCGAAAATTGTGAATTAGAAATTAATTATTTAAGATAATTAAAAGAAATTAATTGGATTTAAATTGAAATTAATTGAAACATGAAAAGATTAATAGAAAGAAAACAAAAATGAAGAGAAACGAAGAAATTAGTTCATGACGAAATTTACTGTTAATTAGTTGAATAATTTTTAGACGTTTATTGTAATTTTCTTGTTATAGTAATTAATTTATGATTTATAGGATATTTGACATTTGCAAAGTAATAGACGAATGAAAAATATTGGAATGATAAATTGAAGAAAGAATATAGGGTATCGATCTCTCGCGAGACTGCAGGCATGAGCTTCATATATACATGTATATCTGCATCCTGTAGCTTAAGGGCACTCTGAACTTTCAAATCTTTTCTTTTTCGCCCTACATTATATTTTGTCATTGTATTTCTTTGTTTTGTTAGAAAAAAAAAGCAATTGCGATTATTTTTTCCAATATCAAATTTTGTTCTATTATTAGAATTTTTACTTAATTTTATAAATTTTTATTCAAAATTTCAAAGAGACTAAAAATTAAGTTGGAAAAATTTCAACAGTAAAATTTCGTAAAATTTAGAAAAAAAGAAATTTAACATTTATCGACAATTTTATTTGTAACTAAATATAAAAAGTGATAAATTTGAGTATATGGTAATATATCAAAGAGTTTGTTATTTCGATAAGTTTACTTTGTTCGCAGTAGTGTGATTACTTCAAAAGGCAAAGTAGAGATTGATTTTCATTTAATATTTCTTTGCGATAAAAATAAATTCGCCGGAACTGTTTATATGGAAGCAAGACTACTGGTCAAAGGTTGAACATCGCTGACACAGATCTTCTCAACGTGTTTAGTGCACGAGCATTAAATTCCGTCAGAAATGCAGGATGGGCTTTGCATTCGTGGTCAAGATACCTCATATATGTGCATAGCAGCTAGCGAGAGATTTAATCCCCGGTGTATTATAATTCATACACTAGAGCAGAGAGCAGCTCGTTTAATGTTTAATTTTTTTATTCATTACGTGAAATTTGAAAGAATATTTTTATTTTTATTTTCTTTTGACGAAATTTACATATTTAAAAAATCCACCGCTCTTCTTTCATTATTATAATTAGAAATGGTCAGTCTACTTTTCGCCCTTAGAAATACAATTTGAATTTGATAAAAATTATTTACATATACTTTGGAAAATATAAATATTAAGTTAATAATAATTTAACAATTAATTAAAAAAATAAAATAAAATTAATTAATATTTGACAAATAATCTATTATTTGTAAATTAAATTTAACACTCTAAAATATAAAAATAGTTTAGTTATACATTATTCTAGAAAAACTAATTTTTATTACTGCAAAAGTTAATGGGATTTATTTGATTAAAAAACAGTACTTTTATTTATTTTTATGTCTAGTTTGCATTGAATTTGAATTTTCTAGAAAATTAAGAAATTCATTTTCCGAAATTTCATATCATTTTTGTTCCAAGTTCAAATTTCTATTAATTCAAATTTATTTAAATTCAGATTTTTAATTTATTCATTCAGAGAATAAGTTTTGTAAAAATATTTTCTACAGAAAAATAAAAAAAATTGTATTATTTTCCATAACTTTGCATTTATAAGTACTTTTCATAATTTTAAAGGATGAAATTTTAGTTGAAAAAATTTTATTACTAATATTTATAACTTTTATAATTTTCAATCAAAAATAATTTAATTCTTGAATAGAATTTTATAAAAATTTTTGAAAAAGATTTAAATTGAATTCTATTAAGAAATTTTATTAAAATTGTATTGAGATTAATTGACTTCCTTTAAAGAATTTTATAACTTATGAAAAAAAAATTCAATTCTTGCGACGAATTTTATTAAATTTTTCGAAAATTTTATTATTTAGAGAAATTTTATTAAAATTGGATTGAAAATAATTGAATTTGTGGGAAGCACTTTATTATTTATATAAAAATAATAAAATTTAATTTTAGGCCACAAATTAAAATTAAATATAAATTCAATATTATTATTTAAATTGAATTGAAAATATAATTGAATTCCTCGAAACAATTTTATTATTTATGAAAATATGTAATTGAATTCTTTCAAAGAATTTTATTAAAATTTTGAAAAATAATTGAATTTCTTCGAGAAATTTATTAAAAAATTAAAATTGTATTGAAAATAATTGAAATCCTGCGAAGAATTTCATTATTCATGAAAATAAATGAATTCTTACGAAAAATTTTATTAAAATTAAAAAAAAAATAATTGAAATCCTGGAAAAAATTTTACTATACATGAAAAATAATTTAATTCTTCCATAAAATTTGATTAAAAACTATTGAAAATAATTAAATTGCTTCATTAAAGTTGAATTGAAAATAATTGCTATTCTGTGAGTAATTTATTAAAATTGTATTGAAATAATTGAATTCCTGCGAAAAATTTTATTATTTATGTGAAAATAATTGAATTCTTGCGAAATTTTTTTTTAAACTTACAAAAATAATTGAATTGTTTCAAGAAATTTTATTAAAATTGTATTGAAAATATTTGAAAATCTGTAAAAAATTATTTGTCATGAATTAAAATAAATTATTTTATTCATGACAACTAATTGAATTCTTCCATAGAATTTTATTACAAATTTTTGAAAATTAGATTTTTTCGAGAAATTTAATTAAAATTGATTTTAAAATAATTGAATTCGTCCAAAGAATTTCACTGATATTTTAGAAAATAATAAATAATAATTAATTACTTAAAATTGAATTTTAAAAAAATTATCTGAAATCATTCAAAAATTGAAGTTGATATCTGAAATTAAAAATATTTGATATTTGCATAATAATAAACCATGTTGCGCCATTTACTAGTTAATTAATAATATTTGATTGAAATAAGTTTTGAAAATGCATTTCCTGTATGCAGAATATAATCATTTATTGTATTTATAATTTTATATTTACGTTTTTTGTATTATTTATTTTTTTTGTATTCTTTCTTTCATCAATGTATGACTTCGAAGATATAATGTTTTTATTAATTTTCTTGATAATGCTTGACGATTTAATTAACATGTTGAATTTTTAAATATACGTCATGAATGTTGTCTGATTAATTTGATTTGTCCGTAAAGCAAATTAAACTTCTTCATTCAGTTGGCGGTTTGAATGAACGGGTCTGTTGAGTTTCAGTTTTGCCCCTCTTCCTCGAATAACGTTTGTCTATTTACCGACATTTTTTTTTTCTTCTCCTTTTTATTTACAGTAAGAAAACGGATAATAATCAATGGTGGGAGTTGTTCGATCAAAATACTTCGAGATTTTATTATTATAATGCAACATCACAAAAGACAGTCTGGCACCGTCCTAATGATTGCGACATCATTCCTCTGGCGAAATTACAGGTGAGTTTATGCTTTATTACATTTTTTAAAAAAATTAATTCAAAAATCCCTTTTTTCAATTTTCTAATTTTTTCTCTTCATAAATTTTAGGATCACCCAAATTTTATTTAATTTATTATCTAATTTATCTTATTTTCAAACTTCCTCTTTGTTTTAAATTTGGAATTTATTTTCTGTTTCCGGAGTTTTTTTTCCCTCTTTTCTTAGAGCTTGGGATTTATTTTCTATTTCCGGAAGGTTTTTTTTTTTAACTTGGAATTTATTTTCTAATTCTGGAATTTCTTCCTTTATTTTTTCCAGTAAAGAATATTTCTGGTGTATATTGTGCTGGCGACGATAAAAATTGGTTGAGTTTGATTACACTGACGTCATTCTGCATTGTGTTTTCTAATAAGGATCAGGGGCTCGAGGAAATGTTCATAGTTTCAGATCAATTTCTTTTTATACAGAAAATGAAAAATTTTTTTTTTACCAAATTAGTTTAAAAGAATTTTTTTTTCCACTAGATTTTTGTTTTTGTTTATTATTTTTGCTATACATAATCTGGTAGAATAAAAAGAAAACTCGAGAGTTAAAAAAAATAATTTATTTTTGAAATATTTGTCTCCCAGCGGCTAAAATAGATTGGCCTCTGAAATTCTTTCTGCATTATTTTTGAACTGCAAATTCTTCTCATTTTCTTTTCTTTTCGTCTCTCGCAAGGAAAATTTACTGTAATTTTCTTTTCCAGTCACGTTGAGATTAAAAATTGAAAGATATTTTTTCCATTGGGTTTCATGTACCTAATGATACAAATTTTTAAACTTTATTTTTAAAAAATATTTTTTACAACATTTTTTTGTTAATATTTTTTATTTTTGAAGAATTTTGCCTTCTATGGTTAAATTTTTTTTGTAATCTTGAATTTTATCCGTCGGCAGTGTGTGCCTACTTGGCATAGAGGTGGAAATGTGAGTAAGCTACCATCTTGGTTTCTGGTGTGGCTATAAATAGGTGATCACAGAGAGCCAGATGAAAAAGTGTGGCCTGTATCGTAGTGTACATCTACAAAATGTTTAGGATCCTGCATTAGTCATACGCTAAGAGATATTGGAGAGTAAAGTACCCAGATGCACAGCTTCCTCCTGGACCATGACTTTAAAAATTAAATTAGAAATTCCCAAGAAATCTCGAACAGAAAAACTATTTTAATTAATATAATTAAAATTATAAAATTAATTTATGCCGAATATTTTAAATTTATTGCAAGTATTTTTTTTTTAATCGCGATATCGCAAATAAATTAGAATAAAGTATTTATGATTTTCCAATTACACCATTTTTTTTTCCTCATTTTTTTTTTTTTTTTGTAATAATAATGTCGATAGAAAGCGTGTGAATTCATCCATAGAAGTCTTTGCCTACGGTTCAATGACAAATCACTTAACTGTTTCCTTTGAAAAAATTCAATGCGTTTCCTCTTTTAAAAATGAAAGTGAATTTTTTTCCAAATATAAAACAAAATTATATTTTTATTGAAAGTAATTTTCAATTTAAGCAAAAATGTACGTAAATTTGTTAAAGAAAAAAAATCTAATTTCCACTTGTAAAGAAGTAGTAGTAAATAAATTAAATGATTTTTTTTTCCTCCTTTTTTTTGTCAAAGCGGAAAAACTAAGTGGTAATATTTTCTCGAGCGGACGTTTTACTTTATGACTCTCGAGTGTTCTATAGGTAAAAGTATTGGCGAGGGAGTGCAGTGGGTTGATGGCGAGGATCGTTAAAACCTTGTCCTTCGTCCCAATTTGAAAATGCTTCAATACATGTATATCGTTTTCACAACTATATATATGCTTACATGATAAAAGTGCAGCTGCCACTAAAATGAACTTTCTGAAATTTTAAAAACAGAAAAAAATTAAATCGACTTAATTATTACAAATTGAGACAATTATTAATTAGGTCAATTAACGTATTCGTGTGTATATATGACAAATGTTAATCGCTTCAAACTGCTCTTACATTATCTCAGAAAATGTTTTTTTCTCTTACTTTGTTTTTAAAATAAGTTTCATTAATTTTTTAAAAATTATTAATACATTAATAAGAAAAATATTTTTTGGCGTATTTGTAATTATAATTTTGATTTTCAATAAAAAAAATCCCAAATTTTATATGTTAATGATTTCTGAATCATCCTTTTTTTGTAGACATTGAAGCAGAACACAGAACCAGCAGGTGGTGAAGGAACGACCAATTCTCAGAAGCAAAATGACTCAAGAAAGAAGGAATCGGTTTCAACGCAAACTCAAACCCCGATTGTTGGTCGAACAGGACGTTTTAATCATCACGAGAATCCTAATTTGGCAGCTAATATGGTATTTTTTGCGAAATTTTATTGATTCTATTTTTTGGTTTTTTTATTTCTTTTTCAAATTAGAAAATTGCGATTTCGAAATTAATCAACTTAAGAAAAAAACATGAACAATCGTCTTAAAGAACGTAAATTTTTGAGAAATTTTAATTATTCCAATTCTTCTGAATTTTTTAATATATATTTTTAATTGATTATTAAAAATAAAGAAATTATAGAAGAATTTTAATTAAAAACACTAAAAGAACTTGAATTTTGAAGCAATTAAAAATGATTGCATAAATTCAATTATTTTCCAAATTAGTAAAATTCTTCTTAGAAATTCAATTATTTCCAATAATTTTAATAAAATTCTTGGCAAAATTTCAATTATTTTCAAAAACTCTTATAAAAAAAAAGTTTCAAAACCTCTTTTCTCTTTGGGGAAATTCAATTATTTTTAATAAAATTTTAATCAAATTTCCGAAAAATAAACTTATTCTTAAAAATTTTATTAAAATTTGTCAAGAGAATTCAATTATTTAAAAATTTGTTAAAATTCTTTATAAAAATTCAATTTTAAGAAACATTTAATTATTTAATAAAATATTTATTTTTGTATTTAAATAATTGAATTATCGTGGATTTTTCTAGTAAATATTGATTTTCATTTCATAAAAATGAATTTCAGTTAAAATTTTAGATTATTATTGAATATTGAAAGCAATATAGCGCAAATTTTTAGAAATAATTGAATTTTGAAAATGTTTCAAATTAAAATCTTTTAGAAAATTTCAACTTTTCATACTTTTAATTGACAATTCTGTAGAATTTATTTTTTAAAAAAGTTTAATTGAATTTTTCTTTAATTCTTCAAGTTTTTATTTTCTAATATATATTTAATTGAAGAATGTCAGAATAATCAAAATTACGTGACAATTAATATTGAAAATAATATTGAATATTTACGAAGAATTTTATCATTTTTGAAAATAATTGAATTCTTGCGGAGAATTTTATCAATTTTGAAAATAATTGAATTCTTGCGAAGAATTTTGTCAATTTTAAAAATAATTGAAATATTTCGAAGAATTTTATTCAAATTTTTTGAGAATAATTGAATTCCTGCGAATAATTTTATTTTAATTTTATTTTAATTTTAATTTTTATTTTAATTAAATTCTTGACAAGATTTTTAAGGAAATTTATAGAATTAATTTTTCTCAAAAAGTTTAATGTAATTTTTTTTAATTATTTAAAGTTTTTAATTTCTAATTTATGTATTTAATTGAAGAATATCAGAATAATCGAAAGTTCAGGTAAAATTGAATTGTAAACAAAGGGATTAAAAAATTCTCAAAGAAGAAATTTTACAAAAATTATTTTAAAAAATTGTTTTAAAAAAGAATTTTAGTTTAAAATTCTAGAAATGAAGAATTGAATTGAAATAAAAATAATTTTGAAGAAATTACAGTAACAATATTTTTATAATATAAAATAATGATAGTATCAAATTTTAATTATTATAAAACATGAAGAAAGCGACCGCATTCTTCATGTTTTATAATTATTAGCTTACTAGCCAAACTATCCGCGCGCAAGCGCGCGGGAATGTTGTATGAGGCTGCTTATTTTAAACAATTTAAAAAATTTTAAAGAAATAATTATTATAACCTAACAAAGAGATTTAACTAACTAAAATTTAAATAATTTCACTCAGTGGTCTCAATTAAAGTAGAATTTACATTACTAGACTTAAACTATGGCTAGAACAATTACAATTAGTATCTGGGTCATCTTTTGCATTGCTTATTTTATAAAGCCATTTTAAATTAAATACTTTTCAAAGAAATAATAATTATTACACAATGAAAAAAGTTTTACTTGAAATAGCGATAAGTTTCTCTAGAATAACGAAAGTATTAATTGAAGCACTGAAAAATTTCGCTACTAAAGTGAAATCTGTAGTTCATCCAGCTAAATATTTTTTGCCGTGCATAACGAAAAAAGAATTAAATTAACATCAGATTTTCTACATTAAAAAAAAAAACGAATTCAAATAGAAATTAATCATTTTACAACTTAACCAAATTCACCACAGAAATCACTGAATTCGATAATTTAGAAGAAAGTCAGACAAAAGCAGGGTTCATACAGAATCTGGAAATCATGGAAATCATGGAAAAGGTCTGGAATTTTTAAAAGTTTCTAAATTTTTTCAGTTTTCCATTTTTTCTCTTGAATAAAAATTCAAATAATAATAAAGCTAAATGGCATAAAATACAAAAAAAAAGGTTGAATTTTAAGCAATTCGATTTTTCGGATTTTTGATAATTTTTAATAATTTTTGATTTTTTACCAAAGAGTCGAGACAATTTAATAAGTAAAGTATTTTCCAAAAGCACAAAAATAATGAAGCTAAATCCCATTAAAGAGAAGAAAAAATGTTGAATTTTAAGAAATTTGGATTTTTGAATTTTTTCGAATTTTTGATAATTTTAGATTTTTTACCAAAGAGTCGAGACAATTTAATAAGTAAAGTATTTTCCAAAAGCACAAAAATAATGAAGCTAAATCCCATAAAGGAGAAGAAAAAATGTTGAATTTTAAGAAATTTGGATTTTTGAATTTTTTCGAATTTTTGATAATTTTAGATTTTTTACCAAAGAGTCGAGACAATTTAATAAGTAAAGTATTTTCCAAAAGCACAAAAATAATGAAGCTAAATCCCATAAAAGAGAAGAAAAAATGTTGAATTTTAAGAAATTCGGATTTTTGAATTTTTTCGAATTTTTGATAATTTTAGATTTTTTACCAATGATTCGAGACAATTTAATAAGTAAAGTATTTTCCAAAAGCACAAAAATAATGAAGCTAAATCCCATAAAAGAGAAGAAAAAATGTTAAATTTTAAGAAATTCGGTTTTTTGAATTTTTGATAATTTTCGATAATTTTAGATTTTTTACCAAAGAGTCGAAACAATTTAATAAGTAAAGTATTTTCCAAAAGCACAAAAATAATGAAGCTAAATCCCATAAAAGAGAAGAAAAAATGTTGAATTTTAAGAAATTTGGATTTTTGAATTTTTTCGAATTTTTGATAATTTTAGATTTTTTACCAAAGAGTCGAGACAATTTAATAAGTAAAGTATTTTCCAAAAGCACAAAAATAATGAAGCTAAATCCCATAAAAGAGAAGAAAAAATGTTGAATTTTAAGAAATTTGGATTTTTGAATTTTTTCGAATTTTTGATAATTTTAGATTTTTTACCAATGATTCGAGACAATTTAATAAGTAAAGTATTTTCCAAAAGCACAAAAATAATGAAGCTAAATCCCATAAAAGAGAAGAAAAAATGTTAAATTTAAAGAAATTTGGATTTTCGAATTTTTTCGAATTTTTGATAATTTTAGATTTTTTACCAAAGAGTCGAGACAATTTAATAAGTAAAGTATTTTCCAAAAGCACAAAAATAATGAAGCTAAATCTCATAAAAGAGAAGAAAAAATGTTGAATTTTAAGAAATTCGGATTTTTGAATTTTTGATAAATTTCGATAATTTTAGATTTTTTACCAAAGAGTCGAGACAATTTAATAAGTAAAGTATTTTCCAAAAGCACAAAAATAATGAAGCTAAATCCCATAAAAGAGAAGAAAAAATGTTGAATTTTAAGAAATTCGGATTTTTGAATTTTTTCGAATTTTTGATAATTTCAGATTTTTTACCAATGATTCGAAACAATTTAATAAGTAAAGTATTTTCCAAAAGCACAAAAATAATGAAGCTAAATCCCGTAAAAGAGAAGAAAAAATGTTGAATTTTAAGAAAATCGGATTTTTGAATTTTTGATAATTTTCGATAATTTTAGATTTTTTACCAAAGAGTCGAGACAATTAATTAAGTAAAGTATTTTCCAAAAGCACAAAAATAATGAAGCTAAATCCCATAAAAGAGAAGAAAAAATGTTGAATTTTAAGAAAAACGGATTTTTGAATTTTTTCGAATTTTTTATAATTTTAGATTTTTTACCAAAGAGTCGAGACAATTAATTAAGTAAAGTATTTTCCAAAAGCACAAAAATAATGAAGCTAAATCCCATAAAGGAGAAGAAAAAATGTTGAATTTTAAGAAATTTGGATTTTTGAATTTTTTCGAATTTTTGATAATTTTAGATTTTTTACCAAAGAGTCGAGACAATTTAATAAGTAAAGTATTTTCCACATTAAAAAGTTTGACATTAAAAAACAAAAAATGCCAATACTTAACCCACAAAATTTAATTTTCAAAACAAACAAATGAATGCAGATAATTTGCTAACGGAAAGGAACTTACGATTATTATAATGTATTTATATTTTGGAAATAATAAAAATAAATTTTTCTTTCAAGCAAATAAATAAACCGCTGGGTATGAATACGGGAGCTGGTATTGATCTCAGAACATCGCCGCCATCACCGTCCCCATCGTCAAGACGGCATCATCATCATCATCATCACAATAGTAGACATCATCATAGGCATCATGAACAACCAACGACTCGACGGCATCATAATCATTCGCAGGATTCGGGGAGATCGAGCGATAGTTCAGTTTCACATAGTCGAACATCCCTCGAATCGACTGGCTATAGACTATTAGATTCACCCCATCGACATCAACATCAACAACGAACTGTAGCGCAACAACAAATTATATCCTCACAATCTTCGTCCAGACAACCTAGCGGTAGTTTAGAAATTAGATCATCACACAAGAGTGGAACCCTCGAGGGCGTTAAAAATCAAAAGATCCTCGCCACCGTCGATTCACAGCAGCAGCAGCAACAACAACAACAACCAATTGGATTGTCCCTCTCGACAAGTACTCCACTCTTTAAAAAGAAGACATTCACTGAGCCTCAGCGCGAATCACGTGCTGGTAATCTCGATTTAGACAAGAGTAAAAATGGTAAGAATTCTCCTTCTTCTTTTATTTGAAAATTTACAATCAATTATAATTTTATTTTAAATAATTATTAAAATTTAAATAATTACGTCCCATTTTTTTTATTTCTACTTGAGAGTTTTGATTTGAAATTCCAGGTAGAGAAAGTAGTAGAAGTTCATATGGACCCGAGCCAAGTACATCGCCGTATCGAGAAACTGTTATGGAATGTCGTGGATTTAGACAGGAAATGGCGCCATATCGTCCACCAGAAATTCAAGCGTGTTACAGTCATAAACCGCAAACTGAAAAATATGGTTCACTTATTGAAATGGGTAGCCGTTTTCGTGATCGTGAACGTGAATCACTTCATCGTGAGAGAGTAAATAGTTTTGATAAATCGAATGCACCTGCGTTCTATCCGAGTTCAGGGCATTCGAGAAATTTAAGTAAACCGGAAACCACCGGCAGTATTGGCAGGCGACATCATGGATGTTCCGCTTCCCTATCCGAGGCGAATGTCCGTGAAATGTACGGATCAATTGCCACCGACAGGAACGAGCCCTCGAAGAGCCTCGCGAGAGGTGTGTAAATCATTCTGAAAAATTATTACTCTGCTGTGAATTTAATTTAATTATTAATTGAACATATTTTTAATTAATCATTAATTTTAAAATTAAAAACATTTAGAAAAAGAAAAATTATTTAAAAAAATTAGGAAACAAAAAAAAAACACTGGCAATTACTGGAATACAACGATTATTTTTTAATATTGATATTCAATTTACTAATTTTATCAATTAAGATTTTATTTACTAATTTTATTAACTAAGATTTTATTAAATATCAAGTGTATTTATTGAGTATGAAAATTTTAGGTACAACCGTTATGGGTAATGTGTCGAAACAAAGGAGTTTGGAAGTTTCTGAACGTGAGAGAGATTATCGAAGAACAACGGCGTGCAATAATTCGATAGATTCTAGTATACAGCAGCCATTGGCTCGTAGTTATAGTTTTGTGCAACAGCAAAAGCAGCAGCAAAAATTACAACAGCAGCAGCAACAGCAACAACAACAACAGCAGCAGCAGCAACAGCAGAGTCGACGGCATGAAAAGGACGATGATTCCATGCACGAGAGATATTTGGTGGGACAAAGTCATGATCCGACTCGTCAACGACTTTGTAGCAATACCAGCAGTAGCAATAGTAGTCATAGTAGTAGTAACAGTGCCGTCGAAGATGAGACGGAAGGTCAAACGGACGCTGACAATGGAAAGAAGAAAAGAAGCAATGGAAATCCAAGTCCACCTCCTTCACCCTACTATGGAAATCTTCTCGTCGACGCTGATCATCTATTGCCCCTGCAACATTACATTCTCCAGCAGGCGAAACTTTCTGGTATTTTTGTTCTATTCTATTTCTATTATCTATTTAATTCTATTTTTATTTTGCTTTTTACCTTATTTTTTCTATCTCTTTCTAATCGGGAAATAGCCGGGAATTTAATTTGACCGGGAAGAAGCCAGAAATTTTATGCCAGGGAATTTTTTCATCAAATTAAAAAAAGTTTTATTATTTTAATTTGTTTTTAAAAAATCGCTTTTTATTTCAATTTTTATAGATATTTATACTGCTCTTTTAATTTGAATTAGTTAAAAATAATTAATTTGATAGTAAAATCAGTCACTGATTCAAATATATACATAGTATGTAAATAAATTAAAAAAAAATTATCGAATTAATAGAAATTTTGTGAAATTCAACTAAAAATAATTAAATTTGTTAAAGAATTTCATTAAAAACTCATTCTTTTAATTTGGAAAAAAAACATTTAATATATTCCCGTTTCTTAATACTTTTGTAGAAAATTTTCAATTTTTATAAGGAAATAATTTACATAATTTCTATTTCTTAATTAGAATTTAAATTTTAATTGAAAATGAACTTGAAACTTTTCAAATTTTTAGAAAATAAAGAACACAATTTTACTCAAAAAAAAAATGCTCTGTTACATTTTTACGAATTTATTTAATTGTAAAAATATTCGAAAACATCAATAACTTTTTTTTTAAATAAATATTTAATTATTATTATTTTTCCACGGGAATTAAGACATTCCAAAGAAATTTGATAAAAAATTGTAAATAATTGAATTTCTGTCGAATTTTTATTATTTTTGAAAATAATTAAATGCTTGTGTTTATTTTTTAAATAATTGAATTCTTTTCGGGAAATTTTATTAAAATAGTAGATATTGAAAATAATTGAAATTAGGACAAGAGTTTTACTGTCATTTTTGAAAATAATTGAACTTTGGGACAAAATTTTGTTAATTACAAAGATAATTGAGATTTTGACGAGAATTTCTTTTTAATTTTAAACATAATTGAATTTTATCAGAGGAACTTAAAATTTTATAATAAAATTGAATTTTGGCAAAGTTTTTTTTTGAAAATTCTAAAAAATAAGATTTTTGAAATTTTTCAATTCTATTGTTTCAAGATCATTGAATTTTTATAAACAAATAATTGAAAATTTTTGAAATAACTGAAATTTCTTTACATTCTATTAATACAATTTTAATCGAATTCCTCGAAAAATGTAATTATTCTTAAAAATGTTACTAAAATTCGTCGAAAGAATTCAATTATTTCTAGAAACTGTAAAAAAATTCTTCTCAATTCTTCTAAAAAAATTCAATTATTTCCATAAATAGCAAAATTCTTCAGATTTACTAAATTCTTTTAAATATTATTTTTAAAAAAAATTCTTCACAAGATTTCAATTATTTTCATAAATTTCCATAAAATTCTAAAAAACAATTTAATTATTTTCAAAGCTAATAAAATTCTTTGCAGAAATTCAATTATGTTTAAAAATAAATAGTAAAATTCTTTGCAGAAATTCAATTAGTATCAATACATTTTAATAAAATTGAATTAATCAAATTTTCAATTATAATTATGAACAGACAAGATTATTTTTAAAAATTGAAAAAATTCTTTTTTTAATTAAATTATTTTCCAAATTTTTAATTAAAATTGTTAAAAAAAACATTATTTTCAAAAAAATTAAAATTTATTTATTTATGTTCGAAATTAAATAATTTTAAATTTGGTGAAAAAAAAAAAACTGGGAAAAATTAGAACAAAGCCGGGAAAAAAGCTGGAATTTTGTTGAATGAAAATAGTAGACACCCTGGATTCTAATAACAAAAGTTAATAAATAATTAATAATATAGGAATTAATTTGAATCGAATTTTAATTTAATTTTTTGCTCCGCAGGCTGTTACAAATTTGGAGATCCTTTATTGGCAGAAGAGGGCGACGATTCGTTGGATGAGGAAGGAGGCAGAGCGAGCGAACTTCGAGGTAGAGGCGATGACGATTCAGATGATCAGTTCGCTGACGATGAAGCAGCCAGCAATCATTCCAGTCAGGAATATCTCGAAGATCACTATGCTGGTGCGAATTAAATTACTAATTATTCTGAAAGAATGAAAAATATTAGTACACGGCACGCGTTTCATTTGCTAATGAATTTATAAATTAAAAAATAAATAGATTTTGTGTTTACAGATCTCGCGAATTATGACACAGCGGGCCTAGCGACTTATTACAATACAGCCGACACATTAACGAGGCCTCAGGTGACAGCACCACTTGCACCGCCACCGCCACCACCAACAAACGTCACTCAAACCGAAGCACGCGAAACAATAACACCAAGACCAATATCATTACCAAATCCAGTGGTGATATCGGGAAGAAATTTCGATACAACCGATTACGATGAGGCGCGACGCGATGACAATACAAGTGGGGGCGATATTGAAAAATACGCCCAAGATAATTTAAATTTAAATTGTGGCCGACCAAAGGGTCTTCGTCTCTTATTCAGAAAGAAATTCAGCGTACGCGATATTCTCAGTTGGTCAAAGGATCCAATACCACAACCGATGCTGGTCGTCGTTGACGGTGAAAAACTATTGAAACGTGAGGCGTGTAATTTATTTCGACTTGTACAAGTCTATATGGGCGATCGTAAAGCAAATGTTGGCATGACATTGGACGGTGTGGCAATGGATATTGTGAATACGGCATTTTCAAAACCACCATTACGCGACGAACTCTATGTGCAAATTTGCCGTCAAACCACGGAAAATCCAAGGAAGGAGAGTTTAAGACGCGGTTGGGAATTAATGGCAATTTGTCTTGCATTCGTTCCACCTAGTGCAACATTTGAACCATATCTCGAGGGCTATATGAATAGACATCGTGATCCTAATTTTCAATTTCCAGAAGTAGCAAAGTGGCCGATTCACGTGCAAGTGAGTCATTATGCGACTGTCGCCTGTCGACGTCTTCAACGAATAGGAGCTCATGGAAAACGACAACCACGAAAAGCAACCATCGAGGATATCGATCAGGCCAGGGTGAGTATTTTTTTTTTTAAATACAAATTTGAATTTGAAAATTACAATAAAAATTTTCAAAGAATTGATTTAAATCAATTGAATTTGTTTAAATCAGTAAAATTTTCTCTTGTTTCGTAGTTGCAAATTTTCCGCGCCTCTATGTTTGGCGCAACTTTGTCGGAAGTGATGGCCCTGCAGAGAGATCGTTTTCCACAACGCGATTTACCCTGGGTTCAGACGACATTAACGCGTCAGGTTTTAGTTCGTGGTGGAACAGTGACGGAGGGAATATTTCGGGTATCAGCCGATGCCGATGAAGTGAGCGCATTAAAATCATGTCTCGATAGATTTGAAGACGGTGCAATATTGGCAGCTTCACAGGATGCACACGCGCCCGCTTCACTTTTAAAATTATGGGTTCGTGAACTTTATGAACCACTGATACCCGATTCATTTTATCCCGAATGTGTTTCAATGCGTCATGATGATCCAGAAATTTCTGCTGCAAACATCGCTGGCGTTGTTGAGAGACTTCCTGATCTTAATCGACGAGTTTTGTGTCATCTCGTGCATTTCCTTCAGGTATTTTATTTATCTTAATTACATCCAGGCTTAATTATAATATATCTTAATTATACCCAGGCTTAATTATAATTCATATTAATTATACCCAGACTTTCTCGACTTTTTTCGAATAATACGACTTTTATCGACTTATATTTGAAAATTGCAACTTTTTTCAATTTTTCTTCCAAATTTTGCGACAAAATACCACATTTCTAGTATAAAATGCAACTTATTTCGATTTTTGTAGTGTGAAAAGTATAACTATAGACAAATTTTTGAAAAGTTATTTTTAAATAATTTTTCTAATTAAATTTTTGAAATAAATTAAAAAGATTTTGAATAATTGAAATTTTGTAAAATTTAATTGAAAATAAATCATTTTTTTCAAGTATTTTATTACAATTTTTGAAAATTAACTTTTAAAGAAATTTAATTTTGAAAATTTTGCAAATAATTGAATTTTATCAAAAATTTTAATGAAATATTTTCAAGTGTAAATTTAATAAAAATGGAAATTAATGGAAATTAGGTTGTAAGAATAATATTATTAAAACTAGCAAATGTTACGTGCGCTAGTGCGCAGAATGTGATATTCAATTTATTATTATGCAAATTACAACATTTTTTATTTTTAAATATAAATTTTTAAATAATTTCATAATAAAAATTTCTTAAATTCACTTATTAAGTACAAAATTAATTATTATTGTTTATATTTTCAAAAATTGTAATATAAATCTTCGCAAGAATTTAATTATTTTTATATAAATAATAACATTCTTCGGAAGAATTAAATTATTTTTAACAAAATTTTAATAAAATTTCACGAATGAATTCAATTATTTTCTAAAATTTTAATAAATCCTTCGAAACAATTTAATTATTTTTTTAAATAGTAAAACTCTTTGTAGGACTTTAATTATTTTTAAAACAATTTTAATTAAATTCCTTGGAAGAATTTAAATATTTAAAAATATTTTCATAAAATTCAATTTCAACAAGAATTTCAAATTCTTTAAAAATAATTTAATTATTCTCGAAATTTTTTTTTTAAATTCTATATGAAAATTAAATTACTTTCATTGCAATTTTTAAATATATTCCTAAAAAAAATTAAAAGAATTCAATTATTTTCAAAACAACTTTAATTGAATTTTTCGAAAAAATTTCATTATTTTTAAATATTTATATAAAATTCTTCATAATAATTTTATTATTTCCTACAATTTTAATAAATTCTTCAAAACAATTAAATTATTTTTTGAAATAGTAAAATCTTTGCAAAAATTAAATTATTTTTATAAATAGTAAAATCTTTGCAAAAATTAAATTATTTTTATTAATAGTAAAAGCCTTTGTAGAAATTCAATTCTTTTCAAAACAATTTTAATAGACTTTCTCGAATGAATTAAAATTTTTAAATATTTACATAAAATTAATTTATTTTCTAAAATTTTAATAAATTCTTCGGAACAATTTAAATTATTTTTATAAATAGTAAAATTCTTTGTAGGACTTCAATTATTTTCAACACAATTTTAATAAAATTCTTCTTTATAACATTCAATTGCTTTTAAAATTTTCAATTAAAATTATTAAAGAAACTGAAGTTGAAATTTTTTAAATTTTATTTCCCATGAAAAAAGTAATAAGAAATATTTAAATATTTGTTTAGTTTTTTTTAAATTAGTTAAATTTTAAAAATATATTTTTAATTTAAAATTTTTTGAATTGATACTTGAAATTTCGTAAAATTGAATTGTTAACAAAATATTTATGTTTCGAATAATTTTACAATTAGAGAGAATTAGAAATATTCTTTAGGGTCGAGGAAAAAGTGAAAATCAGGGAAAAGTCAGTGAAAAACAAAATAAAACTTGAAGAAAATAGTAAATAAAGTTGAGTTATAAATATTTATTTCCTTCTTGCAGATTTTCGCAAGATCGGAAGTAGTGGCCCGAACGAAGATGGACGCAAATAATTTGGCAATGGTGATGGCACCAAATATTTTGCGTTGCACGTCACAGGATCCGCGGGTAATTTTGGAGAATGCACGAAAGGAGATGGCCTTTGTTCGTTCAATGATTGAAACGTTAGAAACTGCTTGGGTAGATGATTTGCACTGACCATTGCGCCACCGCTAGAATGTTCTAGACAACAATGCCAAATCAATCAGCTGATAATAAAAAAAAATATTATCATTACAATTATTTTTTAAATAATTACTATTACTTATAGATTTCTTTTTTTTAAAAAACAAGTAATTGACACATTTGTTTATAATTCACTGTCACTTTTTAAAGCCTCTGATCCTTCTCTTTATCTATCTAAAGAAATTTTTTTTTTTTTTTTTGCAAATTTATTGCTACGTGTATAGACACAAATTAATTGTGCTATTAACTCGATTTCTTTGACACTTCCTATTTATTATTTATAAATATATATTATATATATATATATAAAGAGATTCTACGTTATGAATCTAGAGATTATTAGATATATATAAATATATATATATTATCATAGCTATATCGCAATAACAATGTATTGTATATTTTAACTTCCCTTGTTACCGCGTGTTAATCGCGGACGGCTTTTTTACTCGATCGTTGTTGAATCTCGTGTAAGATAAAATGAAAAAAAACAATATGTTACCGTGTATAGGCTGCACCAAGAAAAGGTCCTTTTTTTGTATGAGCGATGAAACAACGTGTACGAAATTTTATTGTGAAGTAAATACTGTGAAAGGTTTAGCAAGCTAATTCACGGTGTTATTTCTTATTTTTAAATTTCCATTCCTTATTTATGATGGGGATATTTTTTTTTATTTTTCATTATTGAAATTAAAAATACTAGTCGTATTTTTCTAGAAATTATGTATGTATATAAAAAAGCGTTTAAAAAAACAAAACTGTGTCTTAGGTACTTTTTTAAAAATTTTATTTATATATTCTATGTTTTAATAATTAATTCTTTTTTCCTAATTTTTACCATCGTTTTCAACATTAATTTAATTTTAATGAATTATATATTAAATATAAAAAAATTCATCGAATTTTATAATGTAACATATTTTTACTAAATTACACATTTTATTATTTCAATTATTTCGTTTCTTATAATTTTATTCATATTCCATTTTTTTAGCTTTACGAAAAATATTCATTCAATAATATTTATTGAATGTAAAAAGTTTAATAGAATAAAATTAAAATGATTTTCAGTAAAAAGAAAATACAGGTATTTAATTGGGAGCCTATTATTTATTGGGTTGAATCACATGTTTTGTTTTTTACAATTATAAAATGTTACAGAATGAAAAAGAAAATCGATGTACAATTGGTTACGGAAAAAATAGTAGTTTCACTAATAAGTATTTTTCTATTAGTACATTTTCTTGTTTTGAGTAATTGTATATAAATATAATTAAAAGTTTAACAACTGTTAAAAATTAATTTTTTAAAGAGAAAAAAAAATACTCGTTGCAATACCGCTAAAGTATATTTCTATGAAAGTATTAAAGAAATATTTAGAAGTATTCCATTTCCTCTAAGAACCTTTGAATATTTATTTTGTCAATTATTTCATTCAATTAGAATTTCTTTCTAATTAAATATTATTTGTGATTGAATATTTGTTAGACAAATGATTTTCTAAACAAAATTACTATATTCTATACATTTACATAATTTCCATGGATTTGAATTTCCCTTGCAAATCATAGAAGAACTGAGAATAACTTCTAAAAAATCAGGCTTAACTTTGATTTTTCATTCTTAACAGACTATTTCTGAACTATTTGGACATTCAGACTTCTAACAACTAGTAAAATAAATCACAAAAGGCTAATTCTTACGCACTAGATTAAAAACAATGGGAAACATTTTTAAGAAAGATGTCTTTACAAAAAAAAGCTTAGTTTTTTCACACTGGACTTTCTTCGACTAATTAGCATTTTCTTAATGACAAATATGGCCGCGCGAATCAGACTTGGTGTCTGTTAAAGACAATTCACCTAGAGTAGAGTTTTTATAAAACTGTATGTTGAAAACAATTTGGGACAAAAATTTTTACCTTTTTTCTCTTTCGTAAAAAAAGAGAACGTTTTTTTTAAAACTTTGATAAAATGTTCTTTTTATCAAAAGAAAAAATATTTCATTGTATTTAGATTAATTTCCAGCAATTAATAATTTTTTCTCACCTGCTACTAAAGGTGAACGATCTTTTAAGAATAGATTAAAAAATAATCTATTACTCTAAAATTAGACTTATTTACAAAATTTACAAAATTCGTATCATACTAATACTGGTGAACACGCATTTTTTTACACTAAATTTAAAATTTCCCCCAAAAACGTATTTTTTAAATCACAAATTTTTCAATAAATTTAAATCAAGTCAAAATGACTTATTGTTGTTTTAATTTTTAAAAATTAAGAAAAACGTTCTTTTCACCCTAAATGTTTAATCATCCTTATTATTATTCTTAGTAATTAACGATTGTTCGAATTTTTTGTTTCCTTTCTTTTTTTTTTGTTTAAGTACTTTGGCTAATGAATGATTTCAATTTTCAAAGAGGCGAGATTAGTCTAAAGAGCTTGAGATCACTGCACAATTTGAAATTGTTCACAAATGCATAATTCGTCAGCAATTGTCGACAAAAGAGGCAGTTGACCCACTCGCTATTTCCGCATAGTCACGTTTACTTGCAGAACACAATCTACTGGAGAAATCCGCTTCCCTTTTCCTGTAAGTATATTCAAATTCTTTATCAAATTTCTTATTCAGATGAAGGAAAAACAAATGAAAATTATCTTTGAAGCAACAACAAGGAAATAATTTAAAAAGATAAGAAAAAATAATAATAATAATAATAATAATAAATAAAAGTATTTGACAATTTTACTATCTTTTTTTAAAAATTATTTTAATCTGCTACATTTAATTATTTAAACAATTAATTAGCTAAAATGGTAATTTTTTCCATTATTGATTATTTATTGAATTCATATTTTTAATATGGAAATAATAATTATTTTCTTTTATTTTTAAAACATACCCTCTTCCTGGGAGTTCCATAATATCGACAAGGATGCTGTTAACGTACAAATGATCGTTACACCAGAAGAAACAAAGGGAACGTGGTTGTAAAACATCCATATCGTAAGCCCAGGATAATTCAACTCGTCGAATTTTGCCTATTTCACCAGTTGATCCTCCAGGATGGGCCACAACCATTCGAGTTGATGTTCCATGTTCCAATTTCATGTAACCACTGAAAAACAATTTTTTTTTTAATAAAATGGAAAATAAAATAATAAATAAAAAAATAAATATTCAATCTACCTAGGAGTGAGATCAATATTTCGAATGATTCCATTCTCAGCGTGGAAAGTAACTTTTATGAAACCCTGGACCCAACTCTCGGCAGTCGGTGGTCTCGCTAAATTAATCGTTATCCTGTAATGTCTTCCTGAAGAATAAATATTTCACAATTAATCGAATTTCCCCTGTAATTTTACAAACTAATTAAATTATAATAAATTATGATAAGTTATGTTAATTTAAAGATTATATAAATACAATGAACTCACTGCAATAAGGATCTTCTTTTCCGGTACTAAAGAAGAATTTCGAACCAAGCAGAGACGAGACATCCTGACCCATTGCCTGACGTTTAACTAAAGCAGGACTCGTGTCAGCATGATAGCCCATAACTCCACAACTCAAACTATTTTTGCTCTTACAAGAAAAGCATTCGCCCTTAAGAAAACTCGAATAACTACCACATTCATGAGCCACATATTGACACTTTGAATTGATACTTTCGATAAAGAGTTTTATCGCACGTACATGATTGCAAGCAACAAGAACTCGTGACGCCTCCTCAAGACCCTCGCGTATCAATGTCAATGGCAATGACGGTGTTGTCTCACTAAGATCCGTACAGCCAGGTTGCTCCTTTCCATTATTCGGATAAAAGTCCAAATGACCGCACGGTTGGCTCATCCCGTACCCTGGAAATCCTTATAGTGGCTATAGTTATCCTAGGATCAACTCAAAGATACCCAGCGAAATATTTTTTTTCCCTATTTCTATTTTATTACAGGGTTGCCACAAAAATTTAATTTTCTTTTTCCCTTATTTCAAGATTTTCCCTGACCCTAAACAATATTCTGATTGAATCTAAAAATTATGAAATACTACTAAAAAAATTTTCTATCTTATACTACATTTATTTACGCATTTCTTTAATTGTAAAATTCTATTAAAATTTTATTAAAAATAATTGAAATTCCCTGACCTGTGGCATACCTGTTATTATCATCTAATAAAAAATTATTCATTCTAGAAGAAAATTACGATTTTATCATCTCTGATTGTGGAAAAGTAATTCTGCAAGAAAATATAACTTTTGATTTTCATTGTTTCATTAATAAATAACATACCTAGGAAAAGGATACTCTTCCCGTCTGTGTGAATGACATCGACTAATTGAGCGTCCGTGTAATCTAAACGCAAATGACTTGGCATCCCTTGAAAATATGGTTCGGCTGGATCCAATCCAGTTATTCTGCCAATTGCACCTCCTAATTTTTCACCCGCGTATCCTGCCGTGTGTGCTCCGAGACTGTGGCCAATTAAATGAACTTCGCTCATGTCCAAACCGTAATTTACCTATACAAAAGTGAAAAATTCAATAATTTTATTTATTCTTCTTTGAATTAAATTTAAATATAAATTTATATTAATAATATTCTTGTATGTGACGAATTTTAGTAAATATTTTTTTAAATAAATAAATAAATTGAATTATTTCGAAGAATTGTATTGAAAATAATTAAATTTCTGTGAAAAAAAAAATAAATTTCATTAATAAAGAAAATAATTCAATTTTTGGATAAATTTTTTTTAATGAATTTTATTAATATTTTAGAAAATAATAATTAATTAGTTAATAAGTAAATTTTTAAAAGTTTTGAATCCGAAATCATTCAAAACTTAAAGTTGATAAAAAATTTAAAAATTGCATAATAATAAAAATGAAAAACCGCTAAACATATTCACATTTTCTTTCTTTTTTAAAGAAAAAACTAGTAAAAAAAAAAAAACAGAAATTGCCTTGGAAATAATTTCCAGAAACACGTGAAATATTTCAAAACTTGTTCACATTTTCCGCGTGTCTATTAAAAATAATAAAAAAAGAAAAAAGAAAGAAAAATCCGCTACCTGAAGGTGTTTGACGAGATTTGCAATTTCGAGACCAACGAGCCTCGTATTAGCCGTGGCTTGAGTGTAAAGAGGAAGACTTCCGCCTGCCCAATCGACAATTATGACGTTGTAATCACCATGCTTTAGCAGCTCATTCCTCATCTCCTGCAAACAGGAAAAAAATATTAGACATCGGAAATCACGATCCGCATCTTTTTATTTTCTATTATTTCCTTTTGTAGTTTTTTTTAATATTAATATTATTATCATTTTTATTTATTTATTATTATTATTTCTATTATTATTATTATTATTATTATTATTATTATTATTATTATTATTATTATTTCTACAACTATAGATTTCAATAGATAGTACATATGCATAATGAAAGTCATGACGATTAAAATCTATTTTATATCTACCGAACTTGGAAATTTAATAAAATATTCCTATAGACTTCATCTTCCGTCTATGTAGATTTAAAAGTCTGATATGACTCGTGATACTGTCTTCGTGAAAAAAAAATTGCGAGAAGATAATTTACACAAATTACCAGCTAGTTCTACTATTAAGTATATATGTTAATAATTATTAACCATCAGTCTCATTTGCGATGTTCATATAATAGACGAATTATTACTCTCGGCATTAATTTTCTCCCTGCGCGCTTCAAAATTATATATACATCAGAGGTGAATTCCTTTGAGGATTTCTTAACAGTCATTTTACTACTTTCACGATTATTAGGCGAAAAATTAGTCTCAAGAGATAATTAACAATTATGATACAAAATTAAAAACGAAAAAATATTTTCTCTCCTTCCTTTTGTTATTCAAGTTTTTTTTCAAAATGTATCTTTAAAAGTACAAAAAAAGGGTTCCTTCTCTTGTTTTTAAATATATTTTCTTTCTCTTTAATTTATCATGAAATAAAATTAGTAAAATATACAAAAGAAAAAAAATAGTGTTATCGATTTACGATCTATTAATTGGACATAATATACAAATAGAAGCAATAAATTATAGAGGAGAGAACATGAGTTAATGATAAATATTGCTTTGAGAAAAAGAATGATTTCTGCATAAAGTAAGGATTTAGTTATAAAGCGGATGTTGTAAAAAAAAACTAATGTCTCACCTTCACCCAATTGCTGAGCGGCGTGTCTATAAAACCGTGTATGATAAATTTTGTTTTCTTCTCGGCATCAAAGTTTGAACGTTTTATCGATTTATCCTTACTTGCTATCAAAACTTGGCCCTTGTAAAAGAAAATCATTATTAGTTAAATAATCTTTATCATTATTATAATTTTGTCAAATAATTCCTTTTCTTTTTTTTTCTATAAGTTAATAATAAATATTCTAATACATTTTTATCGAAATATTTAAAGTATATTTTCCTTAGAGTATTTAAAAAGATATTTAAAATATTCTAACAAAAATATCTTCTATTTAGAATATATTCTCTTACAATGATAATAAGCTTTCAAAAGAAAACATACTTCGTTGGGATTTTCATTGGTGTAAAGTATGAACCTTGTGTTAATGACCTCTCGTGGCAAAGGAAATACATTGAGAGGTCGATGAATGAGATGATACCAACTTCTTGTGATGTTTAAACATCCCAGCTCACCATAGCAGCGTGTTTCATTTTCAACTGAAAAATAATATACAAAATTAACTTTTTAAAAAAATGTACTAATATATCCTATATTATTTATTTCCTCAGTTATACAAATATATAGAATTACATAAAAATCTTGTGAAATTTTTTTTTATAAATTCACTGTGGTTGCACCTGAAAATTATATATTTATTCTAAATTGTTACGTTTTATATTTTATTCTATGCTATTTGTAATATTATTCAATTATTTTAAAAGCGGCCATTCAAATAATTGCATCAACTAATATAAAACATTTGTCGGCGCGTTCTCTACGTTTATTTTACAATAAAGACATTAAAAATATTCCTTTTTCCTATAAAAATTATTTAATAAAATATTTCGAAACAATTCAATTTTTCAACTTTATAGAAATATTTTTATATTGATTGAATAGATTTAATATTTCACTTCTTTTGAATCTAAATTTCGATTTTTTGTTTGAATTAGTTTTATTTAATGTTTATTTAAGTTGAAATAAGTGTTAAAAAAGAAAAGAGAGGAAAATATCTCTTAATATATAATTTTCGACTACAGAACAAAGTAAATTCTTTTTCCAATAACATGAGAGGAAAAAGATAAGAAAACATGTCATGTATTTGGTAACCTTTACTAAAAGGTTTCTTTGTAACGTTTACTCATCGTTTACTGTAAAGTCATGTCGATAAGAAAGGTGAAAACTGCAAGAAGTTAGAGAAAAAAATACAAGGCTCAATAAAAGAAAGTCGTGTAGAGGAATCTATTCTTGATAAAATATGAGTTTCGTTAAATTATTGTAAGTGGAAAAAAAATCCAATTTCTGACCTTAATTATTAATTAATTTGTGATTGTTTCAGATAATTACAAGGTAGCCATGGAATGTTGACTTCGATTCGATCACTGCGTGCCCATTGCCAAGGGTCCAGGATTCCAGCGGAGCAGAGAATAGGAGCCAATGCGACAAGGAGCAAAACTAATGCTCCTTCTCCCTCGGCGCCTCCATGTTTTCTCGCACCGCTCCTCCTCATTCTGCAAAAAAAGAGTTGAATTTATTTTCATTATTTTTACAACAATACCGAAAATATATTATACGTACTAATAGTATTTTTAAATATACTTTCACTGGTTCAAGCCCTGTACTTTTCATTTTTTTTATGAATAAATTCTCCTTTTATATTTAATATGATGACTTCTTTATGTAATAAGTATAAAGAATAAAGTTTATATAAATTTTTTTATTATCCTAAGCACGAGGCAATGTTCCGAAAATTTTCTGCACCTCTATTATCATAATTTTACTATTTGTATGCGCTGGAAGAAAAGTATGGTTGTAAAATATTTTATAACGCGGAACACACAGGAGAAGACGAAGTTCAAGTGACACAAAAATAAAATTTTTATATTTAATTATATAGTATACGTTTTTGGGTGGCTGTTCGTTGTTGTGTCATTATATTAGAATTTAATTGAAAATTTTACTTTTAAAGTTCGTCGAATATTTTTATTTCCATCAAAACAAGTTAATGTTTTGAGGTTACCTCGCTTTGTTGATTTCTAACATTTCTAAAAATAAGAGAAATTAATTCACCGGTGAAATAAGTCGCTTCTTGAAAGTTTTTTCCAAGAAATTAAAATGTGGATGAAAAATTGTTATATAAATAAAATATTGCACCGCAGTGATAGAATAATTAATCATTCTTTTTCGATAAAAGTGATACATTTCTTCTATTTACAAACAATCAGCGCAGAACACACTAATTTTATGCTCCTTTTGCGCCGACCGGAAGTGAAAACTAGTGACACAAAGCTAGTCAAATGAACAACTAACTAAACAAGAAATAAACATTTTAACTTTTTCTAAACTTTAAATTCACAAGTAACTAAAAATTTTCATTTCTCAAAAGACTTTTAAACGTTATTCAGTTATAAAATTAATTAATTACTATCGTAATTATATTTAAATTAATGTTAAAAATATTGTTAACTGAATAATTGAAAGAAATTGTCCACCAATCAGAATGCATGCCCGATACTCGTCGTCCAATCAGAGAGCAAATATGGCTTCTTATTCATTAGTGCCCGAGCTTGCGACGGACGTGCAGTACTCCTCTTTTCTCTCCATACATTTTTCCCCAAAAAGGTAAAAATCTTTCATGTTTTCCTCAAAATACTTGTTCAAACTCTTATTTAAACGTTAGGTGACAATATTTTATGAAAATTTCGCCTAAATATGGTGGATGTTTGGCGAAATATGGAATTTAGTATTTTGCCATGCCACGACCACGCCTTCATGCTGAACATTATTGTCGCATATTTAGGCAACAAAATTTATCAAATTCAGGTAATACTCATCAGAATTTGAATATATCCGATGAGTATTTCATGATTTCTAGTTGAGATTGCCTCCAGGATTACAATTTTTCGTGAGAAAATGATGAAAAATTGTAATACAGGCAAAGTTCATTGTAACGCCGCCATTTTGAATTAGGGCGTCGCTCGGAACTCCATGGCCCCATGGGTAATTTTCATTTTTAATAAGGTTGGCAACAATTTTTTTGTTTTTCTAGATCGAATGTTTCCGGGGTGCACAATTCAGTTGACTGATTCAGTATTACCATTGCGCCGACATCGCCAACATCGACACGGTGAACAAATTGCTCACAGTGAAAGCTCACAAAAGGTAATTAAAATAATATATAACAATAAAATATTTTATTAAAAACAACGAAAATATTCCTTTATGCAAATATATGAATACTTTACGGTTGGAGGGGGGATGGGCAAAACATTAATTGTTTTGATTAAAGTTTTGTAAAATTGAAGGTTATGTTTACTTGGTGTTTTGATTTTAACTTAATTTAATTTATTAATAATACTAAAACTTTATAAATAAATATGATCAATATTAACAAAGATGAACTATTATTAAAACAAATAGTGATGCATTTTATTTTTTGTAATATAAATATTTGATTATTTAGATAAATTTAATTAAGTTTTTTTATCTAATTAAATAATTCAATGGATTGGTTTAATTTTAATTTTTTTGGTGTATTTGTGAACTGAAAGTTATTTATAATTATTAATTCATGGCAAATTTAATTTTGAACAAAAATAACTTTTTTTAGAGAAATATTTTTACTTGAAATTTAAATTTATATTAAATTAAATTAATTTGATTTTTTTACAGGAAAGTAAAGAAGAGCTTATTGTGAAAATCATATTGAATTTTCTATCAGTAATTCCAAATCTGGCGCATTTATTCAATCGAAAACCACAGTCAAAGTGGTACTTTCTACTCTGCAAAATTTCTGCAGTAAGATTTTTTGGTTTTTTATTTTTTAAATAATAAATTCAAAGAATTTCACACAGAGAAAAATATATTTCGCTCAGAGCCAAATAGACTTTATTTGTTTAAAATATTACATTTTATTTGATTTAAATAAAATTTTACTTGATTGAAATAAAAGTTTTATTTATGTCGAATACAATTTTTATTTAAAATAAATAAATAATCTAGTTGGCTCTGAAATAAATTAACGTTCATTCAAGGCAAATAAAATATATTTTTGATTTTAATAAAATTTTTCTCTGAGTGTTATTATTTTTTTTATATAAAATTAAATTTATACGAATTTTTTCGGAAAAAATATAATACTGCGATTAAGGATAAAAATTATAATTATTTATAATGTAAATTAAATTTTTAATCCAAATTTCAAGAAATTTATGAATTTAATTTTTTTATTTCATTTCTAAAAATAGATTTTCTATTTGATTTTTTTCAGAGGAAAGTAAAGAAGACCATACAGTAAAGATCGGGAAAATTTTTATTCAATCTTCCAAATCTGGCGCCTTTAATCATTGATCAGTCGAAGTGTTCCTTTGTTTTCTACTACAGTTTTTGCAGTAAGTTTTTATTTTTTTGTTTTTTAAAATTTTTCAAGAATTTTAAATTCTCTTTATTTCTATATAGAATTTGAATTAATTCGGAGATATTTGAAAAAAATAGCTAAGGGGATAAATTGAAAATTATACAGGCTTCGCACTCATCTACTAAAACTTACTATTTACTACTTTTTTTTACAATTTGCAAATATTTGGATAATTTTTTTTTATTTATGGCAATAAAAGATACTTTTTTCTTTATTTTTGGGGAAATTTGCATCACTTTAAATTCGCTAACAGTTAAAATAAAAAAAAAATCTAAAAGTTGTAACAAAATTCTTTGAAACGATTTCATTTTCAAAAAATTTTCGAAAGTAAATGATTTTCAATATCTACAAATTCTACCGCAAGAATTCTATTATTTTCACAAGCAGTAACATTTTTCATAAAAATTCAATTATTTATGAAAATTTAAAAAAAAATTTAGGCAAGAATACAATTATTTTCGCATAAATAATAAAATACTTCTAACAGGGTTCCTACAGAATCTGGAAATCATGGAAATATTATGGAATTTTAAATTCGGATTTCTGTAGGAACCCTGATTGTTGAATTTAAAAAAAACGGTTTTTCGAATTTTTGATAATTTTTAATAAATTTTAAATTTTTTACCAAAGGGTGGAGACTATTAAAGAAGTAAAGTATTTTTGAAAAGCACAAAAATAATGAAGCTAAATGCCATAAAAGAGAAGAAAAAATGTTGACTTTAAAAAAAATTGGTTTTTCGAAATTTCGATAATTTTTAATAATTTTAAATTTTTAACCAAAGGGCTGAGATAAAAAATTGGGTAAAGTATTTTTAAAAAGCACAAAAATAATGAAGCTAAATGCTATAAAAAAGAAGAAAAAATGTTGAATTTTAAGAAATTCGGTTTTTTGAATTTTTGATAATTTTCGATAATTTTAGATTTTTAACCAAAGGGCTAAGATAAAAAATTGGGTAAAGTATTTTTGAAAAGCACAAAAATAATGAAGCTAAATGCTATAAAAAAGAAGAAAAAATGTTGAATTTTAAGAAATTCGGTTTTTTGAATTTTTGATAATTTTAGATTTTTAATCAAAGGGCTAAGATAAAAAATTGGGTAAAGTATTTTTGAAAAGCACAAAAATAATGAAGCTAAATGCTATAAAAAAGAAGAAAAAATGTTGAATTTTAAGAAATTCGGTTTTTTGAATTTTTGATAATTTTTGATAATTTTAGATTTTTAACCAAAGGGCTAAGATAAAAAATTAGGTAAAGTATTTTTGAAAAGCACAAAAATAATGAAGCTAAATGCAATAAAAGAGAAGAAAAAATGTTGAATTTTAAGAAATTCGGTTTTTTGAATTTTTGATAATTTTTGATAATTTTAGATTTTTAACCAAAGGGCTAAGATAAAAAATTGGGTAAAGTATTTTTGAAAAGCACAAAAATAATGAAGCTAATGCAATAAAAGAGAAGAAAAAATGTTGAATTTTAAGAAATTCGGTTTTTTGAATTTTTGATAATTTTAGATTTTTAACCAAAGGGCTAAGATAAAAAATTGGGTAAAGTATTTTTGAAAAGCACAAAAATAATGAAGCTAAATGCAATAAAAGAGAAAAAAAAATGTTGAATTTTAAGAAATTCGGTTTTTTGAATTTTTGATAATTTTCGATAATTTTAAATTTTTTACCAAAGGGTGGAGACTATTAAAGAAGTAAAGTATTTTTGAAAAGCACAAAAATAATGAAGCTAAATGCTATAAAAAAGAAGAAAAAGTGTTGAATTTTAAGAAATTCGGTTTTTTGAATTTTTGATAATTTTTGATAATTTTAAATTTTTTACTAAAGGGTGGAGACTATTAAAGAAGTAAAGTATTTTTGAAAAGCACAAAAATAATGAAGCTAAATGCCATAAAAGAGGAGAAAATATGTTGACTTTAAAAAAAATTGGTTTTTCGAAATTTCGATAATTTTTAATAATTTTAAATTTTTAACCAAAGGGCTAAGATAAAAAATTGGGTAAAGTATTTTTGAAAAGCACAAAAATAATGAAGCTAAATGCAATAAAAGAGAAGAAAAAATGTTGACTTTAAAAAAAATTGGTTTTTCGAAATTTC